ATTACGGTCGTTCAATTAAAAAGCGTCTAGCGACTAAAATAAAGTAACTAGGTTCTTAATCGAATTTTCTAGCTCTTTTTGTACTATCTTCGAAACCGTATTACTACTCATAGCATATATATAGGGTGTACTCTTTAACAACGTTTCTTTTTGAAATATATTTTGACGTGCATGTCACCACTAAAGAAGAAAATTACATTAACAACGTCTTCGCTGACGAAATTTCTAAGACTATACTGTACCTATGTTTATTATTTCTCCGGCGATCGCGTAAAACGGCGCATAGTACAAACTGTACGCACATTAAAAGTTTTCCGTTTGTATAACACAACAGCAGCTATCCGAAAATGTGCAGTTAATGCAAATTTCGTTTTTGACGGCTTCTGCACTTTTGTATAAAATATATACCTATTGAGGTTATATTCGGTAAGCCTTTTAAATCGAACTAACGCGCAAAAGATATCCTGCTCGCGTGATAACTAATTGATAGAAACGAAAATCAAACGCGAACGTGGCTTAAGGGATCACCATGTCTGGTTGGTGTGTAAAATATAATAAATGTACACGTAATAATTACTGCGTGCAAATAAAATCGTGTGTACGTATAGGTACTGCGTCGCACACGATCGATATAAACATTGTGTAAGCACCTTATACTTTTGCCCTTTGTTGCGGTTGGTCTATCCATTTACGCGTATACGTTTAATACATATATTTACACTGGTAAGATACACCAATGCAAGTTTATACAATATAAGCGATGACTGTTTGCACTAGGAAATATTAAAACGAAGTTCAACCGGGGGAACGTGTATTGCGAGAGAAGAGACCAATGACCAATGACGTATTATTATCATGTGTATAAGTGTACTATATTAATTTAATACAATTATACCGTAATATAGTACGGTAATAGTACGATTTATGATTTTACGATCGATAAGTATATACTTTATCAGATGTAATATTTATCAGTTTATCGTTTTAAAGTGTTAATTTTTTTTCTCATCTAATGTTATCGCGTTTTTAGTTATGCTATATTCTATTTATGTATAGTTATATTATATAACAAATAATAATTTTATATTCATAAGACTGGATGCCCCATATCATGGCAGTGTTTTTGCCGGATTTTTGCGCCGTGGCAGTGTGATTAGCTGGTTGTGTACACATTTGATAAAAAACTCACGGCCACTAAGCACATTCCACTGGGCGTCCGGCTATTTTCGACGACACTACGCCTTATAATGTAGTAGCTATTGAGTTTAATATATAAGTTTTACCTGTGTACAATATGTATAATAACAACGTTTAACATTTAAATTATAATAACGATATTATACGTAATTAATTTATCGTGTATAATAATAACGATTGAAATAGGTAATCAGTGAAGTATAGCAGTAGTAATATATAGTGTACATAGTTCATGGTAATCAACGCAAGAGTGGTGCTAACATGATTCACAAATGTATATTTGCTTTATCAATTATCAGTGCACACGAATGCTTTTTTTTCTTATTTTGTTACAATGTTAATAACTATCTATAGTGGTGATATGTATAGAAAACACTCATTTGTTTTAGTCGTATGTACGTATAGAATCGATATGATTTCGATTTGTATTACACATATCCGTTTTTTATCGATTAAATATTCAAAACTTCTCGCGGCGTATTTACACATTCCTTTATTGTTACGCTTGTGACAAAAGTTTATATTATGAAGCACTTGCTCTGCTCTGGTTTTCGGACAAGAATCCGACGATGTTGCAACTAAACGTTTTATCTGAATAATATTTTATAGATTTATAGTTACGATCATGTTTTATAGATTATTTTTACCACCTATTTAAAGAGCTAGTATACGTAGTGTACTAGAAATCATTGCGCGTCGTAGAAAATTTTAAAACCGCAGATAAGATACTGGCTTATTATTATTGTTTTATATTTATTGTTTAAGCACGTGTGTCTTACAAGGCGACCGTGCACAATTAAAAAAAAACTCTTTATTGAGAGCCACCACACACTTTAGATATACAATATCATTGTTATCACCTTGTATCAAGTCTTTTTCATGCACGGGGCTACTTCTTATACGGTTTAAACTTACAATGAAAGTATCTTGAAAAAATCCCTAAGCGAACGTATAAAACCGTGTCCCCCATATTGTTGTTGCTATTTTATTATGTAGACTTAACGTCTACGTTTGTGATGAAATGTTTTCTAAGACTTTTACTTAGGTTGAAATGTATGTCTATTGCATCTCTAAAACAGAAATCTTACAATTTTTTTGCTTTATCGTGACCTGCAACAAACGAGATGGAAAATAATAATAATCTTACAAACCGCTAACGCGTTCTCTTATAACGATAGGTTTGTACGTATAGACACACACCAGTGGACCCGCGTTCTTGCAATTCTAGGTACATTGTTTCAAGTATTGCTAGTACAGTACACTGCACTTATATACATATTATATTACTTATTATACAAATATTATAATATATAATCCGTTTGTGTGTTGCAATTTGCACACACAGTTTTCACGGCACCGCGTAACCTGCCGCCATTCACTTTACACCACTGCTAAACTCTATATATCTAATTAGTTCACGTACTGCATTAACTGCGTAATAACACTTTTTTTATGGTGGGTGTGTGTGTGTGCGTGTGTTTATATCCGAGTGCTGCGCATACTCCATGTCTAAATAGCTTCTTGACGAAATTCAATACAAACCTAATTATATTTAGTTTTCGCCTTTTATATTGTCTAGTCATATACGTGTAAACGATAACGTGTGGTCGCCTCGTAGCCAGATTAATATAATTTATAATTATAATTTTTGACTTTAATGAGAATACATGCGAGTTTAATTTCCCAAGAGCGGACACATGATGAGAGATGGTTTTTATTTCGTTTCGAATTTGAAACGTTCAGACACAAATTAATCGACTCATGCGCCCATAACAATAATGCAGTCTCGTTCGGCGGCCGTAAGAACGGCGTTTATATTATATTACACAGGGAAAAAGAAAATCGTCCTATTTTGGAGAAATGTAGAAAATCGGGAAACGTTAATGCCCCTGAATATAAAAACCATACCACGATTAGATTTGACTGTATGAAACGATTGAAAAAGTTTTTTTTTTTCGTTTCACAAATAAATTTGCTTACCGCGGGTATACTCACTTGATAAATATTTGTATATAATAGCGTATATTATACAATAGTGGTTCTAAAAATCGTAGGCCGTTGTTGCGCGTTGGCGACAAACTAGAAAATCCGGAGTCTCTGGTTATACTTAGGCAATAAATAAATTGCCCGTCCCAGCTTTCTGAACCCGAAGGTTTTCCAGTCCTTCATGACCGCATAAATGTATATATGTATGTATGTATGCATATATATAATTGGTATGCCCGGTTTAGAAGCATAGAACCAATTTATACTCATAATGTATGGCATATATATTATATTTTATTCATCGTTCGTGTTTTTTTTAAAATCCGACACGATTATACGCGCCTACCAACAGATAATGAAATGACGCGCGCGTACGTTCCTCAGTAGATAAATAAGCTGTTTGTATTTATCCTGTTCATATTATTATCTGAGTTATTTTAACGGCTGTACGCGCGCCTAAACGTGAAAATGAAATCGACTATACGATTGTACGAGAAGATAATGAATAATATTATCGACGAACGACTCTCTTCGACCGATATAGGTACCCCTATTACGTGTGCGCTGATGTATCGGTTCGGTATGTACGGTGTATAAAAACGAAAGGATGTACATTATAGATTTAAATTTGTACGTTGAAAAACATTTAACTTAATTTACTGAACGAACAAATTTATTTTAAAAGTAACATATAGCTTAAGCAGTTAGATTTTTCCCGTACAGATATTAATCAGTTAATTCATTTTATAGTCACCTTGAACTTAATATTTTCCTAATCTGAATTCCAGAGATTAAAAATGTAAAATCTTATAATTTTTTTTTCTTTTTGCGCAAATTACTGTTTTTTAATAGAATAATCGAGATCATTTCTATGTAAGTGTTTCTTTGTTCCTGGATTTCAAAAGGGATCAAAATAACTTATACATATAGCTTTTAATATTCATCTGTTTAAAGGGCTGCATCTGAATTTCATGCCATACCACGTTTTAGAGGGGCCTGTCCAAATTGTATGCCACGTCTTAGAGAGGTATGGCCATGTACCCATAAGTTTATTTATCATGCATTTGTGTGCATAACTTAAACTCTATTTTGACCTAAACTCTTTATAATATGGTTATTACTACTGATTAATTTCTAGATTGAAATATTTTTTATATCCGAGTAAACATTTCCATAAATCAATATTTTCATTTTATTTTATTATTGTAAACTGTCATTTTTTATTATTATTATTATTATTGTATATTGTCAAAAAAACCACCAAATTTTATAATATTATTATTTATTTGAAATACCATGCAAAAATGTAAAATACATTTACTTGATTACCCTAAACTACAATCGTTTTATTTAATGTTTAATATTCACAGTTTCACCTTCAATTTAGTAAAATGTTTAGTCTGATATAAAAATATTTCAATCTATAAACTAATCGGTTTTTATTCATCCGTTTTTTTAAAAAAATTGAAAAGTCAAAAATAAAGTTTAAATTGTACACATGATAAATAAACTTGGGAGTACACGACATGCAATTCGGACAGACCCATCTAAGAGATGGCATGCAATTCGGACATTCTAATGTATGTTAATTTTTTTGGCATGAAATTCGGATGCACCGGTTTTAAGTAATTTTTTTTTCTATTAAACTTTCAAATTTAAACCAAACTTACATATTTCTGACTTATTAACTTAACGAATTAAAAATAATTAGTTAACGTGCAAGCTCAAAGTTGTAAAATTAATGTATTATCAATTGCAAGTTCCATCGTCTCCGACAACGTACTAATATTTCTCCGTTTCGTTGTTTTCTTTTTCAGTGCAGCGTACGTGTCATTCGGAGGATTGTTGATGCGACTATTAGGCGACCCGAACAATTTACACGGATTCGAAGTGGATCAATGCGTATACTTGTTAATGAAGAAATTAGCGTTTTAATGTTTAATACATGTATCACGTTGAAGTTTATTTTGTCGTAATTTCAAAACGGGCGAACCTATCAAAAGACTTTTGTAAACATATTTTACTTTACACGTACACGGTTAAGTAATAAAGAATTTTTAATACATAAATCATACACGATGCGTTCATTTTATTTTTGATTACGTTGCCGCAGAGGGGACATCCGTCGAGAATCGCTTTATGCTTTCGACAAAACTGCGCGTGAGACGAACGCAATTCACCATAATGTTACGGTGGACTGCCGTGGGTTAGTTATATTATTTCCCCGTAGGTACGTGATGTAATGTCGACGGACTGCATAACGCCGTGCAGGTGATCGGTGTACTGCAGTTGATAATGATGTCAATCGGTTGCTGCCATTTATGTATAGTACAAACGGGTAAACAGCTCGTTCGCGCATATATTTACTAGGTACACGAACGGGCACGACAAATTATAACAATAGGAATAGTGTTTTATCCGGTAGGTCGTAAGCGATCGTCGGTTACAACGCAACCAGAGGCGGATTTATCTTTTTTACGGCTATAGGCACCAACAACCTAACCTAATCTAAATATTAAATATATTAACATAGCTACATCTATTTGAATTTTTAGACTATTGTCTTCGCTTTTATTAACTAAGTCTACTTTGAAAGAAATGTCAATGGATGTCCACTAAATTTTAATAAAAACAGATTTTCGTAATAACAGCATAGGATTATTAATATACAGTTGAATTAGTAATATAGTGTGGCAGTGTGGGTATTTATTTTTTCTCGAAATTCCGACGATAACATATGAACAAAATTATCACATATTATAATACAATTATACTTCGTAAATATAAAGTAATTAATTTTCCAATTTTTTTTATACGTTTGATGTTTTTTAATAAAACGCTACAGAATTTGCCGCCCCCTAAATTTTGTCGCTACAGTGTCTAATGGGAAATCCGCCTCTGAACGCAACATTGTCTGCGATCTGATCTGCCGATTTGAATACGCACGAGAATTGCGAATATTTTTTAATGGGACAGTACAATATTATTAACGCAGAGGATAACGAATAAGTCGATACCCTTCACGTTTATCGTGTTGGATCATTAATTTTATACCGTAAAAATATCTAAACAATAATTGTACCATTATTAATAATATAATCATTATTATTGCGTTGATATCGGTTACGGCCGCTAGACGTTCCTATAATCGTTGACATTCGATTTGATAAAAATTGGTTTTCGACAATACGGAACAATACGAGAAAGAAAACAAAACCCTTTTTTTAGCAAGTCGAATGCAAACGATTACAACAATGCCTATTAGTCTCTATCAAGTTTAACAATACAATTGCGTATCCATGATACAAAATCAATGTTTTATTAAAAACTCAGAAAACCCTACTCTTTAATTATAAATTCTAATTTCGAAATTTCTACAGTCCAAATAATATTCTTCATTCTCGAGGCTAGTCTGTCCATTTAAATAAATTTAATTATTGTATTAATTTTATTTGAACTTAAATATTTTAAATATTTTGTTCCATTATTGGTCGTACACATATTTTAAGTAATTGTCGAAATAAAATGTAATACAAAGTTAGGTTTTTTAATGAACATTTTTTTTTTAAAAATCAGTTGTTAGATTGTACGCGAGGTTACTATTCAATGAAAACGGGAAAGTACGTTAAAAAAAACGAAGGGAATTTCATGCGAAATAGAATTATACATCGCGTGATATAATATAATTGATAAGTTTACAAAGACGTGGTTTCTATTGTATATTTGTTGTGCTCGTTCTCAAACGAGTTCCCGTCTGTGCCGGCAAGTTCCGAAAGGAATGAAAAAACAATTTATCCGATTGCACAAAATCAATAGCGCATTTCTTGTAGATAACGAAGGACATGCATCCCGCATCCCCAGTACGGTCAGATATAAAACAGGGAATGGAAAAGAAAAACATTTCTGAAATGTTAAAAAAGTGAAAAGTGAAAAGTGTGTGATCTGTTGATGATTTTCCCCGATGTAGTAAGAACTTAAAATATTTTTTTAAATAAGAAATTATCGTTATTTTGTAAGTATACGAAATTGCGAAACTTAAACCAATATTTCGTATTCAGTTCTGCCGTCAATAGTCAGGTTATGTGCCCATTTAAAGTGGGCGTAGTATAGTAGTGTACTTGAGACGATGAACGGTCAATGATATTGAGGGCGTTGGGGTTGCTTATTTCCAATTTTACGCCGGAACTGCCACCTTTATGGTAGAACATTTTGTTTATTTAAAAACATTCCTTCACATTTATTTTCGTTTCCGAGGTTTCTGTCTTGTTTGTCATACACATGTTGTATATATCAGTTTGAAATGTAATTTTTAACTTAAAAACATTGTTTTTTTTTACGATTAAACCAAAATAGTATAAAAAATGTTCATGAAAAAATACTAGTTTATTTAGTTTTTGAATTTTGGATGAAAATATTTATTAATAACTTAAATATCAAGCAATAAAAATGTTTGCAATATTACCGCTTAATAGAAATATATCAAATTATTTGATTTATCACTGTATAATTAATAGTTATTAGTAGATTAATGTATATTGTAATCAGTAAATTTTAAAACGTCTGTGATAATAATATGATAATATCAATTTGATTATTCCTATGGAATATATATTATGAGTATATTACTGTTTATATTTGAATGCGCGGATTAATATAACATAACCGTCGGTAGAAAAAATGGATCGATTGAGATTTAATAATCAGCGCTAGAACTTTTATCAATTAATTACGTTGACTGATAAATAAAATTTTTTCTCATTGTGCAATTGACGTTAAAAGAGTATATTTTTATCCTTGCATACCTTGATCAAATAAGCAACACACGTCTGTGTATGGGTCTAATCCAAGCTAAAACTGGTACAAGTAAAAACCAACAACGCAGTGCTACGGCACATGTATTAGGTAACGGAGTATAACTTTGAAAATAAAATGTTGATGTACCCAAATTTTAGTATAAAAAAAAAAAAAAAAATTGTGATTAATCACAGTAATTTTTAGCAAAAGTTTCTGCATTGTAGATATACTTTTACTTTTAATAAAAACAAAGATGGTAAGAAGGTAAGATTTGATTGATTATGAAAGCTGTTACGTAATATGATTATAATTTATTACCAAAAGTTGTATTTAATTAATTTTAACACTATTTTCTCTTTTACTGTTTATGTTATTCAAAATCAACCGATAAAAATTGGAAAATTATACATCAACCACATTTATCCAACAAACTTTTTCATGTAACTCATATTGTGTACTTATACGGCGATAAATAGTAATCGAAAACGAAATGTTCAAAATTTGTAACATGTTATCCTTCTGATTTTCATCCGCAAAACTTCATTTGTAAAAACTTTCTGGGGATAATTTTATTATAATTTTAGATTAAAAAAAAAAAAATAATTCAAAACCCTTATTGAATAAAATAACAATTATTTTGTAAACCAGCTTCAACCAAATCAATTACATTTACTTTATTTGATTGTACACTATTGTTGGAACAATATATCTAAGGGTATTCCAACTATTTTAACCTGGAAAATATGTATTTTCCCAACTTGTATACGAGTACAGTCTGATGTATACATTATATATCATACTCATGTTAACATTAAAACACACTTTAGAAATGCACGTTTTACCTATATGACGTATTATTTGTGTTTGTCATGACTAGGGCTTGGAAGATGTCGCATTTGCATGTTTTTATTGGACTATTCATTTTATTACTAAATAAGCTTGAAATTATTTTCATGACAATAAGAAAAATATATTTAAAGTTTATAGGTAGAGTATATTTGATGATTATTGATAGTAATTATAATTATAAATTATTGATAAACTAATAAAAACATTTAAAAATGTTGCAATAATAAAATAATACGAGTATTTATTTTGAGAGTTTTCATTAAATATTTTTTATTTTATTATTTTTTGATATAAAGGCATTATACATTGTACCTATCATGATTCTCAAATCCTATAAATGACACAAAATATTCACTTTTATTTATATTGACCTGCATTAATTTAATGATTATCGTTGATTGCATTAATCAGATAATTGGCGATCTTTTAGCTTTTGAAAACATTAATTTAAGAACTTAATTTAATTTAATTTAATTAAGAAATGTTTAATGGTTCAATGCAATAGTTTTTCAGGTAATAGCAAAATTTATTTCTTACTTTGAATTGGGTTCTAAGCGTTTTTTCTAATTTTTATTTATGCTTTATAGATACATATCTAATTTAATGAGAACATTTTGAAAGAAAATTTCAAATTTCAAGCTATAGGGTGTTTCAAAAAGAACGCAAGATTTAAATTTGTTATAAGTTAAATTTATTTATTTTAAAAAAAACCAACAAATATATCATTATCTTTAGGAGAAGTTAAGGTTTAGCAGTAAAAAAGAATATCAGGCATATGACCCTCCTTACTTTCCCTACAGGCGATTATTCTTTCCATAAAATATACCATCACTGGATAACATAATGCCCCATCAAGTTCGTGAGGACACAACGAATTTCTTGCTTAAGTCCAAGACATTTCAAACTTTATTCCGGTAAACTCGTGACTCAATGTATCCCTATAAGAAAAAATCATACGGCGTCAAGTCGCAAGATCAAGGTGGATAGCTTTGGCCCCGCGACGAGATTAGTCTGTCCGGGAACTTCTCACGCCACAGAGTGATTGTTTCTCTTGAAGTGTAATAAATTGTGCCTTGTTGTAATCATATAAGAATACCTACTGAGCTCAGTAATTTTCTTTGGCCTTATTTAGATCAAATGAACATCAAAAATGTTTGGTTTCAACTTTTTACACTTCAAGAGAAACAATCAGTTTGCTACGTGATAAGTTTCTGGACAGACTAATCTCGTTGCATGGAGATCCAAGTCACCCATTTCTATCTTGCGACTGGAAGCCGTGTAATTTTTTCTTATGGATATACTCAAGTCACGAGTTTACCAGAACAAAGTTCGAAATGTCTTGGAACTTAAGCAAGAAATTCGTCGTATCCTCAACAAACATGAGGGTACAATATGTGATCGAGTGATGGTAAATTGTATGGAAAGAATAATCGCCTGAAGGGTTAGTAGGGAGGGTCATATGCCTGATATTGTTTTTCACTGTTAAACCTTAACTTCTTCTAAAAAGAATGATATGTTTGCTATGTTTTTAAAAGAACTAAATTTAATTTATAGCAGATTTAAATCCTATGTTTTTTTTGAGACACAATGTATTTATTTATTTTAATTTTATCTTATATATTTATACCTAGAAATTATATTAAGCTGAGTAAAATATCTTTATTTATGAAAATAGTTGTATTAAAAAAAAAATGAAGTACATATTTTTAAAACATATTTGTACTTTTTTAAGCGCATAAGTGCATGCATATTTGTACTTTTTATGTGCATTAACTTACGATATGTGTTCTAAGAGAATATTTATTAATTATTCCTATGAGTGCATTCCTTATACATGATGTATACTATACATATATTTTGATAAGAGGTTTTAAGATTATAAATGGTTTCGGTTATAAAATTAATTAACGATTGACAAATCCGGTTAGAACATCTGATTTAATTGTCTTTACCAATATATCTGTTACATGAACAACAACTACTGATTATGAAGAAGTTAAGAATCACATGTATAAAATATAAACGCACATGAAATGTCAAGGCAGGTTTGAAGTCCTAAACTCCCTCCTCTTTCTTGTTTGCGCTTAGCCGGTGTTGAATAAATGCTCATGCAACTGACCACGAAGCACCTAGTCATCTATTTGATTTCCGGCACAACGCGAATAAAATATTCTGCGGCGGCGGACAATATCCAATCGTGTACATTGCGTTCCGCATTATTTTATTCGGGTGTTGTTCGTGAAATTTGAGAGCTATCTTCATATGTGTGAAACGAATTGATAAGAACTCGAGGTCATCAAAATGACATGAAAAATAAAAACGGTTCATATATTTACTCGTTTCTTTCGAACGGAATATGCACGCAAACGTGTTAACGAATTTGACTTTCGTCAGCTTTCGACTTTTCGATTTGTTCAAATTGTTTTAATCATTGAGTTTAATAAATTGTAATATTATAATTGCTTTTTGTAATTATGTTTCATAATATATTTCACCGTTATTACTTTTACTTTTATAAAATTATAATAAACAGAATTTATAATAGTTCAGCCGTGCAACGTCTCATATGACACGTTTTTTATTAATTAATTTTAAACTCTTAATTGAAACTAAAGCACATTCGTAAAGGCCTGTATAGATAATGGATATATTGCTCAATTGTTTTCTGATGCTGCATTCAGTGTACAATTATGTTGGTAGTACAGAAAAATAAATATTTTAATTTTCGCTAGTCCATGACATGAAAAATTTTCAAGCTTATTTTTAATACATTTTAGAAATACGACCTAAACACACACGAATACTTATTTCCCATCCAAGCATTATTCAATGAGTCACTTGAAAGTAAAATATCTTATTCAAAGACGACTTAACGGCTCTAATGTATTATTCGAATTTATTGTAACTGTTAAACAAGTCTGAAAAAGTTTTATCCTATACCGTGAACTAATTATAACATCGTTTTGTTTATTTCATGCACTAGCTACTTCTAATATTGCGATAAAATTACTACGATCAAAATAATATTTAGTTAACTATATATTTTTTTTTTTTTTAATATTTAAATTTATAATATAAATTAGTTCAAGCACTTATTATTTAAAGGTTCTCTAAATCTTTCTAGTTGTGTTTACGATACTTAATTGAGATCGTAATTAATTCGTATCTTTATGTATACTTTTAAACTATGTATGAAATTTTCTTTCTCAATTTATTTGGTTAAATACTACGACGTTTGTTAATTTTAAATTTTATTTTTAATCCAATCATGATATGATCAATTTAATAAAAAACATAAAATTATTCATTAATAAAAGTTGTAAGTAATTTTACAAAATATTACGTTTATAATTAATAATTTTTATATTAAAATCGATAATGTTAAAAATATTTCATAATAACCAGTTTTTAATTTGCTTAATTAATGATTTAAAGTACAAAATAATAATTAATTCTGTTCAAACTGTTTCAGAACTACCTACAGTTGTGTATTAATTTGGCCTTTATGGGATAAGTGAATAAATTAATATTTAGGTTTAAATGTCTTATATTTAAATGATTTCTTCAAAAATCTAAAAAAAGAAAAACTAGGTATCATTAAAAACAATTCCGAATTTCAAACAAACGAATTTTAATTTATTTTACTTACCTATGTTTGTGGCTGTAGTATCAAAAAAGATCACTTTTACGTGATCTGTCAATACCCAACTGAGAAATGATTGATATATAGCTTAAGCATGTGATTTCAAGTTCCATCCAACAATTTTGGTACTCCTAATAGTTGATAATTTCAATTGTTAGAAATAATTATAGGTAGTCTATCAACTGTTTATTTGCTACATAGCTCGGGTAATATGTTGTCATCCAATTGTAAAATAAAGCATTGAGTTTAATAACTGAAAATGTTTTGCGTACTCGTATTTCCGTAGCTATAATTTTACGTATTTTTTTTCGCGGTACCGTTTAATTGATGACCTATTAACAATCATATTGCTTTCGTGTGTGTGTAATATTTTCTTTTTTGCCAAACAAAAATACAAGTATTAGTACAACAAAAAGCATAATTTGTTTAGAATATGTCGTCTGACCCTCTGAAGAGAGATTTGAATCGTTCTAAACAAACCCGAAAATCGTTGTCCCATAAACACGCGTAATTAGGGTTATCTACAGTATTGTACCAGTCGTATATAGACACAAAACTAATGGGAGACTGGCCTAGGGTGCTAAAGTATGATCTCTTCCCTTCCCGGGCCGGAATATGAATGGTACAACAATGTATTTTGTTTTCAAATAACGCATATTTATAGTGCACTATGTTAGGTGTATTTTTGTTTCGAAGTCAATTTCGGGTCCATTTCAGAAACACCGAACTGAACACTCGTTGAGTTATTTAATAAAACAAATGATGCATTTTTATTCGGAGACGTACGATCATGGAAAGGTCGTGTTGGTTAAAAATCAATTCATTCACAGCGACTCGGTGAAAAACATTCGGAGGACGCGCCGTCGCGTCGGCTTTTGGCTTCCGCTGACACGTGACGGAATCGACCGGCTTTCGTGAACGCACAATTTTATGCGTGTATAGTCGCCGCGGCCGCGATGCGCGTGAAACACTACGCGCGCGTTCCTCAACGGTACCGCCAGTCCCTGCGGTCATCCGGGCTCCGGTCACGGCCGTGGATATTGATTTCCTCCGCGTATCCCGGACACCGACGTTCCGAGATCCCTTCGCGTGGCGGTTCGAAAACGGTTTCGCGGCCGTTCGCGTCACGTAGTCGCGCGGTCGCCTTCCGCCGGCGGCGGTCGTCGTCCCGTCGCGGCCTCCGACCCGACGACGGCCGTGCTGCCAACACCGATTCCGATGGCGACGATTGTTGCCGCCATAGTTGGCGGCTCGCGGCCACCGCGGTCCGACCTGGGCGCACGTTCCGGGACGCGTGCAGCAGCTGGAACGTACATTTCGCGTACTCGTCCACGGACATGACGGCACCCGGCAAACCGTATCCCCTGTAGTCGGGCGCGCTGAACACGGTTACTAGCTTGCGTTGCGCGAAAAACTTGTAACCGTCGTCCACACACTGTGACCATGAAAACGACCATAAAATTAATAATTTTTTATTACCTTTAGAAATCTTGTGAATCGTCCGAAACCTCCCGGGCTACGTCCGAGATAATCGTCGAGCCCCAGGTTTTGTTCTTTCTTTTTTTTTCCCTAACCTACGTAACTGCGCTAACACGTTTTCTTTCCAGTTTCAACAGACCTAAGACTATGTCTGTAATCGACTTTCGACCACGGGTACAGTTAGAAATATTCGTTTTTTTTACCGACGTGATTTATATTTTTATTGAATTTTTAACCATACCTGTGGTTGACAATGGATCATAGACCGTCCCAATACTGTTAGAACGACAAGGAAATTGTCGGTTTAGTGTGGTACCAAATAAAAAAAACTCAGGATCCGACCTGCAGTATACATTAGTAACCTTTTGTTACCGCCTGGTGTTTGAGGGGGCCCGACTCGGTTGAACGAAAACCCGATCCAGTGCCGGATTAACAAATTTGACGCATGGGGGGAGATTTAAAAATTCCGCCCTTCAACCCCCTCCACAAATCAAAATATATATATGTATACAACAAGTAACAACATAGTTAAGATTGTTTAATTAATTTATATTGATAAACATATTGTAACACCAGTAGTTTTCAAATTTATAGACCTTAGTAGGTACTAAATATAAACATTTTAATACAAATTTATTCAATATAAGACATTTACAACTATTTTTTAGCTTTCTGAGCAGTAAACTCTTTAATAATATCATTCCAACTTATACTTCTTAGGAAAATATTTTCAATAGATATTAGGGACAACTAGGACATATTTTCATTAGATAATTATATTTTCTGGTAGTTCTTGGCTCTTTTTAAAACTGAGAAGGATCTCTCTCCGCTAGCATTTGAACATGGTATAAATATAAAAAGTTTTAAAACTATTTCTACAGTAGGAAATGAATCATTTAACTTTGATACTGTTAATACTTCAAGAAAACTGTGTACAGATAATTTTTCATCTTCTGAATAATACTTCATTATTGTTTTAAATTGTATAATCTCATTCTCAAGGTCCGGTTATAAACACTATAAATATTTACTAATTGCTTTAATTTTTCTCATAAAATATTCTCGTGAGAGAGAGAGAGAGAGAGAGAGGTAATAAAAACAATTGCTTGGTAGTGTGTAAATAAATTATTTGATACTAATAAAATCAAATTTAATAATCTGATGGTTATAAATTATAATACACACATAGAGATATATAAGAAATACAATAAACACAATTTTATATTAGTGTAACAAAAATAAAAATGCATAGGTCCGAGCGCTAAATAATAATAATATGGTTTTACTCTTATTATGCTGAACGTCCACTGACGAAATAACTCAGCGGTTTAATATAACTATTATAATTATAATATTATATAATTGTTATTAATATTTTTCAATAATAAATTAATAATTTTTCCAAAAAACTAGTATAGTCATTAGAAAATTTCAAAACTTTTGTTGACACCGTCAAAAAATTGCCGCCCGGGACAGCTGCCTCCTTTGCCCCCTCCCATTAACCCGGCACTGACCCGATCTTTTGCGGGACGAAGTACAACATTTTATTCTTAATTATATAACGCGTGTACGTGCACGTACTTAATTTTCCTATATAACGTTGATTATTAAATTTTACGGATAGATATATAATATAGGTTTAAATTCTACTTAAAAGTCAAAACGTTTACGGAGAAAATGACTTGTACATAAAGCCACGTAGTGCTTAATTACTAAGAATTCTTGATTTAGCCATTATTCACCCGATACACACATCATTATTATTTCCACCCGATACACATTGCCTTCTTGCGTAATATATAACATAATCGCTGCAGTTACGCAATCAATAATTGTAAAGAGGAATAAAACGTTTATATATTTTAAAACATTGACAAATTAATACGCAAGTATTTGAAAATCGCGGGATATTTATTTCATATATTATTCCTGCGCCGTATAATATTCATAAGTTAATATATAGAAATATATTCAACAAATGACAGGGCTCTATACGAATACATTACCTATTATTAGTTATGACATTAATTTGAAGTTATCCGATCTAATGATCGATTATAGGTACTGACTTAGTAATTACCGGGTAAATAATGATTATACCGATATTGGTATGATATAGCAATAATTATTGTAAAATGTTTAGTTAAAAATTATACATAAAGAAATGCCAATATTGGATAGAATCAAATTAATATAATATATATATAAGTATATAAATATGAGAAATATTACAATTAGGCGTTCAAATCGAAGTGTTGATAAAAGCTCATTGGTATATACACAGAAAAAAATATTTACTACAATATTTAAGGTAAACAATTTATAGTTTAAAGAATCATATTTTTACCTATAGTAACTAAAATTGCATATTCAAATAACTAGTACACAAATAGTTAAATTTTAAATACGTATTCAACTAAAATAATGTTATAATAGGTCATCCAAATACCACGGTATAGTGCTAAGTCTTATAGTGAGTAAAGCCGGGTTCACACTACACCGTGACGTATATTTTACCAGACCGTGTGCTTTGAAAATGTGTGATACCTATATATATCTTATGGTGATACTATCAAATTTTGGTTACATATTTTCGCAGTTTTTTATTAGATATAAAATATTTTCATAAGTTTCAATAAATAATAATTGATAAATATTATATTATATAGTAGACAGCATGTATTATATTATTATTAGGACTCTGTTGGCGCGGTAAGTGCCCAACAATATAAATAAACAATAAATAATAATAAATTGCCTACAATGGCATACAGCAGTATTCAATAATGGTAATAATAATAAATACAATTTGGCCCTACAGCGGTACAACAAATATATAAATAATAATGTGTGGCCCTACAACGGCACAACAAAATGTATAAATAATAATGTATGGCCTACACGGCACGCAATACAAATAATAAATTTAATTTATTTAAATAAAATTTAACATGGCGCACGCAAAATAATAATTCAATTTATAATAATTTGCCTATGACGGCAAGACTCGTTGACCTTTATGCAATAATAAAAATTAACAAATATGAATAGACCTTTATACAATAACAAACACAAAATATGGTTGACCAATACTCACATGTGACTATGTTGAAATGGTTGATTCCATCCACGCGACCGCACCAACCCTGTGATTAAACAATTGCCTATTACGGCACACCGCTGTGTATAAATGAAAACAAATCACAGAATTGATACGTGCGACCATTCGAGCACAGTCACCAACGAAAACACTGCAACGGTCCACAGCTCTGGACGATGACACAATGAATGAAAACCACGTTATTCACAAAACGACATTATACGGTATACCTTGATGTAACAATATGGTTCAGCCAATTAGAGATAATTATTTTAGAAGACACGACACGACACGGTGTAGTGTGAACCCAGCTTAATAAGTATAGTCTATCGTGTAAGCCACGTGCTGTAGTCGTTTGGATATAGACGTGCGGACGTGTCTGTACTCTGTCCATCTACTGACACTGGGACTCAGGTTGACATTTAAAAGTATAGTACATTTTATATATATTTATTTTGTCATAATAGTACAAGTAATTAACATATTTGCAACTATTTAATTATTTGTAGAAGAAGAAATTGATTCTACGGACTAAAAACTTAACAATCCTTTAAAACCTGGCAAGTGAACATATTGGTCAGAGCCAAATTAGAAAATATGGGCCCTAGGCATTATAATCTTAGGGGCCTTTAATATTTGTTTAATGTGATTTAAAAATTACAGTCAACATTAAAATAACTTTATTGCATTAGTGAACAAAAGTTTTATTTACAGACCAAAATTAATTGTTAATGCTCGTATTATGTTTAAAAATAATTATTAAGTACCGGTAAAAATGAAAAATATTAATTATATATTAATGTTTACTAAATTATATAAATAAAAATTTAAGTCAATGGTTTCTTTCGAGATTTTAGTTCACTAAACTTCTGAATTCGATCTGAAAAATCCAATGTGTCAGTTATTTCCCTTTCAGCAGATAGACGAACGAGTGAGTTTAATTTTTCTTGGTGAAGGGACGTTTTTCTGGCGTTTTCAATAAGTTCTAATTTTGAATTTATTCTTTCTGCTTCACGATTCGAAATTGGCAAAATTAAATAAATTTCTAGAGAAATGCACACGATTGGAAAGACTTTTTTTAAATTATTTTCATGTACATATAAGTAAATATTTTGAGGAGTAATTATTGGTAAATTTAACTGCATTACACAATTTGAAAAGTTCTCAATCTCTTGTTTTATATTAGTTATATCAATATCATCTTTAAATGTGCTAATGAATATGTCGGCAGAAGTCTCTGATAATAATTCTGAATCAAATTTTGTAATAAACCCAAAAATATTACAAACATTATCATATGCGTTTAATCTTTTATCATGTTCAGTAACTAAACGATCAATAACGTAAAAATTATCAATCTCTAACTTTCTTATACCACAAAAGTTTAAATTTCCTTATATTGTACCAACCGAGAATTTTTTTTTTCTTATATTTTTTTCAACACAGGGCAGAATATTTGTTGATAATACCCTTGCTTTGTTTTCAAAATATATAAACTTCTCTCTTAATGAACTAACATAAGTTTTTAATCCTTTCAATAAATTTACGACTGTAAATAAATCTATTCCCGGTTTTTAAAGGTATTTACTAACACTATTAAACTACGATAAATTTTCACTCCACATAACTGCCATAAAAGTTGTTTTAAATTTTATCATTTTATTTTTCATTGACGATTTTCTTGTTTTTCATTACAATTTTTAAAAATATCTGTTAATGTACATATTATTTGGTCATAATTTAAGATAATAAATATACAAGACTCCGCGTGATACTCCCACCTAGTATTACTTAAAGTTTTCAAAACGATTATTTTATTTTTCTCTTCCGATTTTAGACCAGCAAAGAGCAAATTCCATCTATGTGTTGAGGCCGCAAAATATGCATACAATTTTTGAACAACACCAAAAAAATTGATTGCTTCTAAACAACTTTTCACTGCATGTGACCCTACTAAATTTAGGGAATGAGCAAAACAAGGTGCAAATAAAGCAACACTACATTTTTTTTTATTTGAGCCTATAAACTCTCATATATATCAGTCATATTATTAGCACTGTCGTATGATTGACCTCTACAATATTGAAAATTAATATTATTATTTTCCAAAAAATGTATTACTTTTTCGGCCATTGAAATACCAGTTTGATTTAATATATGAATGTATGTTAAGAATCGCTCAACAACTAACCTTTTATAACAGTATCTAATAACAACAGCAAATTGATCTCTATGTGCTCTATCTGGAGTAGAATCTAAAATTAAACCGAAGTATTTAGTTTCTTGTAACTGTTTAGTTATTTCTAAATAAAACTATATTTGTCATTAGGTCTGTTATTTTGTTACAAATTCGCATCGAAAAATAAGATACATTGCCTGATCCTTTATTAACGCGTTCATTCATATGTTTTTTTTAAAAAGGGATCAAATTCGAAAATAACTTCAAGAATTCCAAGAAAATTTCCATTACTCAGAGAACCCAACTGCTAGTCATTACCCTCAAATGCTAACCAACGAACAGCCAAAAATTTAACAACAGATACTACACCGTGCAACACTTAAACTCAATACTTTTTGTCATTCAACATTTTTTCGGCTATAGTTTTGTCTATACGATGTTTAGTGTTTACACGATCTAATCAAGTTAACATTGATTCACGATGGTTTGCACAATTTTCATGTTCTTTAACCTTTTCATAAGATTTTTTCCAATTGTTAAAACCAGGATTAATAAAACTTGAATTATTTGATTTATTAGATAGTTTACAGACAAAACAGAAAACGTTGCCAGTGTGTTTAGAAAACATAAGCCATTTACGTGAGTCTATTTCACCATTTAGCAATTTTAATTTGAATAATGAGATATTTAATGAACGATTATAATTTTTAAATTTTTTTTCGAAAGAATGAAATTTTTTTGGATTCATATTCTGAAAAATGCTGGTCCTTTTAAGCAGCATATTTCTATAAAAGTGTTGTTTAACACTAAAAATCACATTCCCAGATCTTGATATGATTCAATATCAATTTCAAAGTTATGAACATCCGAATTAAAATTCGGCAATCACTGAATTTTCTACTGCAGAACAATTGTCAGATTCATTTTCAGAAAAATTTAAAGCATCATAGTTTGAAGTGATTATTGTATTAGACATATTATTAATATCATTATTTATGTTTTAAACATCAAGATAACTATTATTTAGAACCAAATCATCTTTATTATTTATATTAGCTTCTACTTCTACTTCGTTTACACTATTGACAGTTTTAAAGAAATTTCTTAATTTAGGTAATTTGCTTACTGCATCTTCAGCCTCCTTCTTTAATTTTCGTTTTGCATAACCACTGAGATAAATCCTTTTTTTGTCTAACATTTTCAAATTTCAATAGTTTTTATTATACACTTATAACGAACAAAACTCACGAACTCTACTTAAAACCAATTTAAAATCACGAGTCACAACAGTCAACAGAATACTAACTAACGTACCGATTGTATTAACGATGTAAAACTAACCAACAAAATGTATGTAATAGAAAATACCTTAACGATTTGGTAGAGGTAAACAGTAGACTATATAGTGTATACCCGTGTTTAGATAAACTGAGCATTCGCAAAAATCCGAGATATTTTTAAATAATGCGCGGCTTACAACTGTTGCGATTCGTGTTATCATACAAGTGTTTAAATTTGGGCTATAGGTATACACGTTGATGATTAGGTGACAGGATGAGTAAATATAAATGGTAAAGTGTTTTTGGCCAACTTTATCTCAAAATTGAATAGCTTTATTCTATCAATTAGATAATAATTTTAAATTCCATTACGAAACATGACTAATTTGTTTTGTAAATGTTAAACGAAAGAAATATCTTAAAATTTTACAATACCACTTAAATATTTAATTGTCAACAGAGGCCCGGGGCCCCAAATAATACCAGGGCCCGGGGCTGTAGCCCCCTAGCCCCCTTCTAAGTTGGGCTCTGATATTAGTAATACATTGGTAACAAGTATTTTAATTTATTCAATTAAATATTTTATAGGAGATGATGAACTCGCTTCACTATTGTTATAATCATTCATGTTTCAACCTACAAATTCAAAGTTTTCAAAAACAAAAAAACTCATCGTTCTTCCAAAATTGAACAATCAAGATATTTAATGAGTTACATTGTATACTTTTTTTTTCTAGTGTATAAATGTGCTCAAAACTTTGTATTAATAAAATAAAAATACTGTGCACTTTTGTTTTTTACTTTTGTTTAATAAACATTGTTTATTACTAATTATTTAAATTTATTTAATATGGTGGTTGAAAAAATCTTGAGTGAAGAGGCCATCCATTGTTGATACTCCAACAAATAAAAATATAGCTATTAATCTAACATATATACAAGATTCTATTTACGATTATATTACTGTTTTTTTAAACATAGATAAAATACACTATGACACATATGTAAGATTAAAATTCAAATAAGAATATTAATTTAGCTGAGAAGTATAATAGGAAGTACATATATACTATAACCTATAGTCTATAATATATAGACTACATACTCTTAAAGCTAATAATAAAAACTAAAAAAAAAAAAAATTATAGAGTTGATAAAACTTCAAAAAAATTTCAATTAATCAATATTATCATACTTTCTATTGACTATCTAAAAAAACATATGTTGTTTTAAGCTTATTATAAATATTTCGTATAATGTACTTTAAAGTTGCACTCAAGGTAGTAAAAAAGAAGATAGAAAAGTTTTAAATTTACAGATTTTTCATTCTCCGAAAATCACAAAATAATTTAAAAAATACATTTTCAAAATGATTAATGTACCCAATTTTTGTTGAAAACTTTAAAGTAAGCGTGATTGGTAAAATCTGTTATATAAAATTAAATATAAAATATAAAAATTTAAAAAAAAAATAATTGAGTAAGTTTTGGTAAGATTGAGGATGTAAAAAAGCTATTTAGAAAAGTTGAATTTTTCATCATCAGACCAATGAAATTATCAATAAATTGTGCTTTATCGTAAACTTTATGTATGTACTTTATTTTTGTACTTTATGTATGTTGTACCTTTATCGGTGTTTAGTGTTGTTTGCCTTCTCAATATAATAAATATAATTAAAAAAATGAAAATCTAGTGCTTAACTAGATTCGTTATTTTTTTATATTATTAAGTGTAAGTAGGCTCGTATTTAGGGGGACACGGGTAGGCACATGCCCGAGGGCGTCAAGTCTCAGGGGTGGCAAAATATTTTAGCAAAATTAATTTTAAAAATGAGTACCTAATGAAAAAAAAATAAAACAATAAAAAAAAGAAAATAGTATTTTTTATAATGTTATAATTTGTATAATTTGTTAATTAAAAAAAGTAATAAACGATTTTCGTTTATAAGTTATATTTTAACATTAAAGAATCTCAATTATGGACGAAATAATAAGTGTTATATTATTATTATTTATTTTTTTGGGGGGGGGGGGAGCATAAATAATATGCCGGGGACGCCACATTTTTAAATATAGGTCTGAGTGTAAACAAAATTTAATATATGAATTTATTAAATTCTAAAACGGACAAAAACTTTTCCCAGGAAATATGTCTCGCTGTACTTGTTCGCGTTACGGAGATTGGGAAATTCCCTTGGACTCTTCGAATTGGAGGCCGTGAACAAGCGATCTCCTCGAATAGCTTCCCGGGACCGGGTGTTCCGAGGAACGGTGAAACGCGCGCGCAATCGTTTACGGGACGTAAACCTGACGTTGCGAGGCCGAGAGGAATTTCACTTGCCTGATGAGCCCTGACCACCAGCTTCAACCGGAACCGGAAGAGGAACTCGGCCACGCGATCGGCGCCATACTCGTAGGACACGTGACGGCGGACGTTCGCGCGCCAACCCCGGTCCCCCGGACGGTCAGACGGATCGGACCACAGCAGATCGCACATTAGGCCGCTTTTGGGCACACGGGCAGGCCGCGGCATCCGGTCGATCTGGCCCATGTACCGCAGGTGCGGGCTGAGGCCGCCGTGCGCGCAGAATATGATGCCGGCGACGACCGCGGCCACTGGCATGCAATCGAACGTTCTGTTGAACGCCTTCCACAGACGGCCGCCCAGCATCGAGCCGTACCGGGACCGGCACTCATCGTAGAATCCGTACCGCACGTTCACGGTGCAGCACTCGTGGTTGCCGCGCAACAGGTAAACGTTCTTCGGGTACCGGGTCTTGAGCGCCAACAGGAGAGTGATCACCTGCACAATGTGTACGTTACGAAAGCATTACAGTTGTGTGCACACGATGGAAAAATAATTCGAACCAAAGCGCTACGTTATGATATTATGGATCGTAACAGTTGTCGATTTTTTTTTTTCGTCTTTTACATTTGCATGACCTATTTTGATGTCGGGAAGAGTATGATCCCCAAAAACACCTTTATCGGTACACTTATTTGTACACGAATACTATACAAACGGTATGCCAAAAAGATTATCGATGTAAAATCGTCAATCAATGACACGGGTTAGATCTTGTTCTCAGTAAGTTATCCTTGTAAGTCAGTGATTTTCAACCTGGGGATCGCGAATCATAGGTTTAGGGGTCGCTTAAAATAATGGATGAAATGGTTTTTCCATATTATTTAAAAAAAAACAAAGTAAATTATTTATTTTGTGAAATTTTTAAGTGTTAATTAATCAGAATTGTTAATCATATAAATATTTTACCGGCAATTAAATCAAATTTTGATGAATAAAATAATATTTATTTTTTTTTGAAGGGGTTGCATTACACAAAAATAAAAAATGGGGGGTCACGATCCGAAAAATGTTGATAACCACTGCTCTAAGTATGCTCTTCAAAATATGCAAATACGTATTATGTAAACATGTGCACATAGGATTATGCTCACGTCGTGTGTGGAACACTTTACATATTAACCTTTACAGCTTTTTAATATAGTTTTATGTTACTTCGCTATAATTTGACTAAACTCACAAGAAAATAATTTTTCGTTACCCCGTGGTTATTTACCGTAGTTCTTCAAGTCCATTGAGTACGTGTTAAGTTCGTATAAGGACAAATTATTTTAAAACTTATATAATTATTGTACGGTCGATTAACTAGGGTGGGGTCGGGCGTTTACCATACAATTAAGGTGCACTTATATGCGTTTACGAACGACTCTGTCATAAAATTGTATCCAGTTGTACACATAAATGTATTGTATATAATTTACCATATTATTTATTCGCTAAACGTACAGAATTTTATAAATAATTATATTTTTTGTGCACAAAACTGTCGAGTGAGTGAGATAAGTAAGTTAAGCACGATAGTAAAAATAAAAATTGAAAATAACAAAACAAAAAAGCGTGGAATACGTTTTCTGTGGTCATTTTTTTGATCTAATAGTAAAAAATAACTACTATAAAAAAAAAAAAAAAACATTTAATATGTAATAAATATAGACTTGTAATTTTTTTTTCTCAACTGCATATCATACATGTATAATATTTTATTTCCCGCCATAAATCGTGAAATACTTATCAACCTGACACCAAGCGCGGATTTAGGATAGGAATTCAAGAGGTCAACTGATCCACAGTTAATATTTGTTAACAAAATTGGCCTTTTGTAGATTTCTTAGATTATTTAAGTGTACCGACTATAGGTTGAAACTAATACTAAACTGGGACAACTGTCCCAGTTTCCACCTTCCAAATTATGCCACTGGTTTAATTGTATAGTACAGTGAAATCATGACTAGCCCATACACTACCCCCTACCCTCCCACTAGTGCACTTTCGTCTTGGATCCCGGTACAGCCCACTGTATCTCCAGCCCTCACCCTCTCACAACATATGGTTGGTGCGCGTACGCAGTGAGTACGACAGGTACGCGGGGGATGGGGTTTCCTTCCCACGGCGCATACTTCAACGGACTGCGGACCACGGTCCACGAAATCGCCCAGGAACAGGAAATCCACGTCTGGCGGCCGACCAGCCGCTTCAAACCATCGGAGCAGGTCGCTGTACTGACCGTGCAGGTCGCCGACCACTTTGATGGGCGCCCGGAGCTTGAGCAGCATGGGTTGCTGGAGGAACGCGCGCCGAGCGTCCATGCACAGGGCCCGAATGTGATGTGCGTCACTAAGGTCGGCGGCGCCCGACAGCAACCCTTCCATCATGTGGCCGTGGCCGCCGACACCGGTGTGGTCGTAGTTGAGACTCGGACGTCGTGACATGTTCTACGATCGAGATGTGTGTAGAAATTTTGGAGTGCGGATTCACGTGACGGGGAATACCTTTATTCTGCACGTCTTATTATTTGGTCACCATATTTATGGTTCCTATTAATAATACCACTACCACCACTACTACTACTAATACTACACTATTAATTTTAATACTACTGTTGTTATTATAATATTATTATGATTATTTTTATTATGTTTTCGTTATTATTTTCTTCGCTTTCGCAATCGTTGCTGTGCATATGTTTTTATGTGTGTGTGTGCGTGTGTGTGAGTACGTGTGTGCGTGCGCGCGCGTGTGTGTGTGTTTGTATGAAACCATTTAATATTTCGTATCGAACAATCACCGGCGCGCGCTAAAGACGCGGTCGCTATGGCGAAAAATAAATAAAAATAAATATTGAATGAAAAATACATCGGAAAATCGGTCATGTGTGTTGCGATACCACCACCTCACCGTTGGCCATTCCTAAAAACGTTTTCCCAGACCGCAGACGCGTTTCTCTATAGTCTTTTGAGTCCATTATGACAATATTATAATCGTTACACGATATTTAAATATAACTCACTCGGTCACTCGCCTATCGAAGTGTATATTTTAAAAATTACGAAAATTATGTGCTTGAGGTTTGACATGGAGGTTTCCTTAAATATTATGGATGTATAATAAGATACAATATTTCAAAAATCCCATTTTTTTAAATTTGAAATAATTTTGGGTATGATGATTAGCATTTTTCATATTCTGATTGCCTAGGAAATACTTTAATTTGTTTAATAAGATTATTTTTGTATATGTAAATCAATACAGTACAAATAAATATCATTAGAACCTATGACGATTGTGCGTATATTTCGACTGCAAATTCTTAGTTTTAATAATTTTCCTGAGCCTTATTAGTAAAATATGTCTCGAGGAGTACCAGTAATTCACTTATAATAGATCCTGCTAAATGTCTTGCAAATATTCCCATTTTTATCGTCTACTACATTACGCAAATATACATACTTAATCGTATTAGGCAGAGCCGGATTAAAGTGAAACAGGGGGGAAATCTGCCTTCAGGTCCAAAATTTTAAAGGTGCAAAATTTTGAAATAATGTAGGTACTATTTAGAGTGGAAAAAATATTAACGAAAAAAGTTCTGAATTTTAAGAAGGTTTGCTCCGGGTCGCAAAATGTCTTAATTCGACCCTGACATTAGGTATAAATAATCGTATACGAAAATGTTTTCTTTTTTTTAATTTTTTTAGATTTTATTAATGATTTTCCCCAAGTATTTAATAATTCTATATGGATTATTACATTATTGCAAATTATGCTAAATTATTTTATTTAATTCAATCATTAATGAACTCTGAGATACTATAGAATCACTTAAACAAATTTTATATTTAGAACACAAATAACTGTTTTGAATTAAACATTGACAAATGTAAAATTATTTAATTTACTCGTTTCAAAAATCCAATTATATTAAATTATAAAATTAATACTAATGAATTAAACAGAGTATTATTGATTAAAGATTAAGGTAGATGTTTTGATTTGGACCTTTCATTTAATTCCCACCATAAAATAATTTTAAATAAATCTTAAAGGTGCTAGGCTTTATTAATAAGAATACCTAACATTTTAAACAGATATCAAGCTTAATAACATTATATTGTTCACTAGTGCGATCTACTTTAGAATTTAGATCCATAATTTGGTCTCAGAATTTGTGTACATACATAAAAGATCTTGAATTAGTCCAATATAAATTTTTAAAAAAGAATTTCTTCTGTTATTAATACACCCATAAGTGTGCACAAAATTACTGGCTGGGTAGTCATACACAGTGGCGACGAACCCATATAGTAGGGGTGACAGCCGCCACCCATTTTAAATGGGTGGGTGGGTGGTGGTCGGTGGGTTTTGTTATGCAGATGGGTAAATATTAAATATCTAATAGAAAATGTTGACGGGTTAAGCCGTTGAGTGCCTCGATGTAATCGACGTGCGTTGCCCGTGTAGCCGCGCCTAAACTAGACTGCGCACAACGTCGGTCGACTACGTGTCGACGTCGGCCACCAGCGCAAGACCGTAATTTTTACAGCCTATATTCAATATTATTTATTATTTGATAAATGATATATATTAAAAATTTATAAATCGTTTTGTTGAACTTATGTATTGAATATTATGAAATAAAGTACACTTAAAATTCAACTGAGTTTATATTAAATAGTTATATCTATTTGTAAAATTACATAAGTTTCGCTGTTAAAAAACTATATTTATATAAAATTATATATAATAAGAAATGTACAGAGTAAAAACATAGATTTAATAGGTGCTGTTAATTTCATTGAAATAGTGTTATTTAATATTAAAGAACTGAGAAATGACAATAAATTTGAATTAATTGTTTTAGAAAAAGAAAAATGTATTGAATCAAAAAAGATAATCTTTTGTTTACATCTTTAGTTAATTCTAGAGTAAGACGCATTAAAAAAATGCCTGGTGAAATTGCATTTGATGAAGAATTTGCTGATCCAGTTCAGAATTTTAAAATAAAATCATATTTTGTCATATTGGATATTGTTTCTACACAGATTCAGGAACGATTCAATGAAAGTTCATGACCATTACTTAAAGATATTTCTCTTTTTCAACAATAACGTTTAAAGGATGTATTAAATAATGCTTCAAGCCTGCCTGTGGATGCATTCCAAGGATTTGAAAATATATATGGAAAATTTGTGTCTGCCATAGATCTAAGACGGAAATATGTTCAATTTGCAAATGCATATTTTAATTTTGAAAAATTCATAAAACTTCCAAAAAGAATTCACAATGTTTCAGATAATATTTTTCTGGAAGATACCGATGATGATCAAGATTTTAAGGAATCTAGATTTGGACCTTCTGATCTTTAAAAATATGAAGATTTGACACCAATACAAACAATTTTTAATATATGTCATACGACTGGTCTAAAAGATGTTTTCCCTGCAATGTACTTCATTAATTGATTAAGTTAGTAATTATTTGTTACATTATAGTTACTGATTGTTAACTTATAAAATATATTTATTTATTAAATAACACTTTTATATCATTATATATTATATCTACCTATATTTTTTCATTCTACAAAAAAAATCATGAATTTTCCTCAGTTCCTCACTGTATTTATTATTTTATATTTCATATGTATATAGTTTTGATTTATAAAAATCAATGTGTAAAAAAATGTATACAACAGAACTAGTCTAGCCAAAATTAAATTAGAAGTTAACAGAGAAGAGCGAACCAAATACATTCATACAAGAGTTTTTGTTACACTTACGAAAATATATAAGAACAAAACGTACAAACATTTTCATAGGTATTAATATTTTTTTAATAACAAAAAATGGATATTGTGGTACTCTAAAAAAAACATATCTAATATCAAAAAAAAATTTTTACTGGATGTGAACTATACCATACCCTATTATTTATGAATAATTGTACAAATACTAAATTATTTTACGTGACTGATGCCTGATAATAATGTTGAGGTTTAGTCATTATAAGGTATAATGTATAAATATAATTTTTGGATTTTGGATTGGTGGGTGTTTGGTAATTTTTTCCTAGTTTGCCACCACATTTTACATTGAGTTCAGCGCCACTGGTCATACATAACATATCTGAATGAATCTGGATGGGGTAATTTTATTTAACTTAATAATTATGTTTTTCTAATATTTTTCTATATGTATTTACCGTTTACGGACGTTTCAAAGCGATTGAACATAAAATAGTTATTTATTATTGTAACAATATTGAATATTTTTTTATGGAGAGAAGTTGAACAGAGTAGTCAAGTGTCTACCCTGACTACCCCGTTCGCATACTTATAAATACACTTATATTTAGTTAAACTTATCATAGCTTCTAATTATCAATTGGTTTAGAATCGATAAAACTAAAAAGACAGTTATATAATATTTTATTTATATATGATCTATTAAATGGTTTTATTGATTTCCACATTTATTAGTTTTATTAGGAATTAAAATTTTCACATATTTCTCCAGAACAAATGATTTGTTTGTCATTCCCTTTTATCGAAAAAGTATTGGTGCTGACTCTTTTTGTTCGCATACTTTAATATAATAAAAAATCCACATCCATAGATTTTTTTTAATTCTAGTCATGTTAAGTTTGAATCTAATGTAATTTCAATATTAAGAATCATATCTAATGTATAAAATGGATAAAATTGATAAAATTGATAAAATGGATAAAATATTTATAATAATATAAATATGCTTTGTTAAATTAATGTTTTTATATAATCATATCTGAATCACGTTTGTCCGTTCATGTATAGTTGTCAACTTTATTATATCACCTATAAAAAGAGCTCAAGCTCGTTAAATGATCATAAATTAATATATTAATAAAAATGATTAATAAATATAAAATATAATATAGTCACATGTAATAAAACATAAGATTTCTTGATATTTGGCACGTGTAATTTATAATTATTTATTGCTAACGATTTATTGTATTTTACTTTAACAGTGCTATGAAGTAACATTAATTAATACAATATTAAAAAAGATTTTATGGAATGATGACGGTATAAGAAATAAAATATATAGCTTGAGTCTATTCACAATTGTTTTTTTCAATTCAAGCACAGTATTTATGTCATATTTATACGACATCGTCAGAAGCGAATAGCCATAATGAGAGGAGGAGTTGATTTAAACGATGATAGTTCAAAGTGCGTTGAAGGACTCTTAAAAAGGTTTCAGCATTTTACCAGGATTCAATATTAGAGTGCGTTTCGTGTTGAGGTTTTACCGTCGACTATTGGTTAGTGAAAAATTTTAGCTAATACTGTATGTATTGGGGGTTTTCGAATAATAAGGCACTAATAATGACGTTTAATGTTGTTGTTACTTTAAAACTTTCCAATAACCAAATAAAAAGTTGAACTCTAAAATCGAATAACATATACAGCCATATATAACGGTCATTAATAATATAAGATAATATAAATAATATATTATAAGTGTTTAATTTAATTTTACTTCTCTGGGAAATGTTAAAAGTCTCTTCCAACTAGCGCCTTTAAACATAACTACCATGGTATAATTTAAAGTGTAATGTTATAGAAGAGCTTAGACTATTGTTCTACATTATATGTATACCTTTATAGCGATCATTATTGTAGCAAAATATATATGAACATAATAATACACAGAATATAAAAATTACATAATTCAATGGTATCCATCGAAGATGATTTTATATCTTTATAGTTAAGACGCACAGCGACAGACAAAAACCAATATTCATACCTACGTATACCATACACATAACGTGAGCTGCGTTTATACATTTTTTAATTAAAGTACGTGTACGTATAAATGTAACACAACGTTAATGATTGCATTGTTTAAAAATAATGAGAATATTTATTTTTTCTCAAAACACTTATAATTAAAGGGCGGATGTTCATGCATTTGGATATTTTTTCCTTTAATAATAAAAGTTGCAGAGTAGGATAAAAATTCGTTTTTTGACATATAGAAAACGAAAGCAAAATTTTTATTTTATTTTATTTTAACCTATGAAACCTAACATCCTGAGATCTGAAAAACAGCCAACAATCTTCTGAGTTCAATGAAGCGCTACTGAGGCTGCTGGGCTGACGAAGGTGTTGGTGGTTGGACAGTGATGGGCCAAGTCCTCGTTCTCCAGAACTTAGCTATCCACGGAGACTCAAACGATGTTTTTTTTTTTTTTAAATCATTGAAATATAATTTGATTGGCGGGTAATATTTATCATTTGAACAATGAGGTACTAACGGGGGGAAGCGAACAGCAACATTATTTGCAAACCACGGCTGTGCGTTGGAGCAATATAATAATAATCAGTGCATAGGTATTCGCAACGTACACAACTTTATGTATCGATTCTTGAACGTTACAAATTACCTAGTTACTATATTAACTACTTACATATACATAAGTTTATTACGAATACTACTATCCGCAGTTGCGATCTATGCACAGATTAAATGCACTTAGATATTAGGTATATATTTAATCTATAATCTAGGTATGATGAATCTGAACATATATTTAGGATGAATGTGATTAGGGATTGAATAACAAAATTCTAGCTGGCCAGAACGCCAACAAAATAAGTCGAACTTGCCATACGGTAACTTCGTGGTGAAAACAATAAATCCAGTTGTATATTATTGTGCATTAGAAGTTTGTTCATTTCAACATAATTAATTTCATTGATGGTGTTGTGCGTATACAAATTTGAAACTAAAATATTTATGATATACAGTCGAGGCTTGTAATAGGTAAGGACGTAATAATCAGTACAATCGGTGCGCGTGAGTGTGCATCGTCAAGCGGTCAAATACTTAAACGCATAACTTGCTTATTTACATACAAATGATTGGCTATTACCAATAATAAGGTCGAGTGTACATAAGCACATCGATCGTTAATGTTTATGGTCAACTTAATTAGTGTCACATGAAGTCCATAACGGAACATTGAACTTGAGCTTAAATGTTAAACAAACACACATTTAGGTATGTCCTAGCTATTACCTAGCGTCGCGAAGTCGGAAAATCGGAATGAAATAATATTAATTTCCGAGAAATAAACGGCAACGGTTTCGTTTCATTCGTTTAGTACCTGCTGAGTAAAACAATATTACAGTGTTCCGGGGGACGCGGCGGAATCGTATTTTCGCGTAGTGTGTTTAAGTGACTGTACACAGTTACACGCATATTTACCCGGCAAACACTTTTTCGTCACGTTGTCGGTCTCACTAATTGCAATTATACAGAGCGGGAAATTATTCCGACCCGTAATGATTGTTTTCAGTACACACATAAGGGTTTGTTAAACGTTACTTTTTGCGTTCCTGGGTAGCGATTCTGATACGCTCGTAACAATCATGGAAACGACGAATAACGAGCCCGATGATAGTAGTACTGCGGGCTGTATGACATAAGCGCCAAAAGTACAAAAATGACCTATCATTTGCGCCAAAATCTGTAGAACATAAGCGCCAATCTAATATTGTTACCTGTTATACCCTACATAAGACATAAGCGCCAAAGGTGCAAAAGTGACATAGCATTTGCGTCAAAATTAATATTTTATATAAGTAGGTAGTTATTTAAAAATTAAAAAAAAAATGTCGATAGTAAATTATAACGATATAACGAAATAGGTACTAGGTAACAATATGTTGTAACACAAAACTTGCTCACACAGTCTATGTGACAATCTATCGTAATCATATAAAACATTTGTCAATTAAGATTAAGCGTTTGGAGTTTTTGAACGATATAGTTCTAAATTTAATATCTGTTATTTAATAGATATCTAGGATTTTGGCACTTTCGTACGATACGACTAATTTTTCTTATCTCATTTTGGCGCTTATGAACGATACGATTTTGACGCTTTTGTACGATACGACTTTTTTTTTTTTCTTATCTCATTTTGGCGCTTATGTCTTCCACCGGTACTGCGGCGCGCTTAACACGTCGATCGTAAAACTTTACACCAACATAATTTTGTTTGTTTGTACATGAGGTACCTTGGCGGCGTACTCGCACCAATAATTGTAATTCATTATCTACTGGATCCTCGGGTATCGATCTCCCCACAGCCAATGTATGCATACACCACGGTAGTTATTATCGTAAAATAGTCATAAATATTGGGATTTCCATCCCGGCCTCTTGAAACTTAGATCGGACACCGTTTTACTATGTCTGAATCTCATACATAACAATACCTATACGGGACGTATAAATGTTCCAGTAATGTACGTAGGTCAGTAGACGGTTGGAGTTGCGTAGGCAGCAGTGACGAGAGCAACGGTAAGAATTTCAACGAATAATCCAACGGTCGAATCACGCGCACGTTTACCTAGCTAGGTCCTAGTCTATGAACTGTACACGTATATAACCCTCGGATGTTATTCCGACTGATTTTTGTGATGTTTTCAAACCATACGTGATGCAATGAATACACGTTGACGTATATACGGTACGGGGTAACCGAAGGAGTTATATACACACACGTAGCAGCTGCGCACGACCGAAACGCGCGTCACAAGTGCAAAAAATAATAATAACACAATGCATGTCCGTCGAGTATACACTTCAAGATGACCCGTTCTCTCTGTCGGCATCACGGCTGCAGAGAAAGAGCATTCGATCAGAAACGCGCGGGAATAGGTTTAATTATAATTTGACGTGAGCGCAAAGAATGTCACGCCGCTCTTGCTCGGCCGATAAGAGGAATACAATGCAAAATATGGAGCAACTACACATAGCGCGAGTCCGTGAGGACGAACTGAGGCCAACTTAATCAGCATCAGAGTTCCGTCTCATCAAACAGGCGAAATAGGTAGGTACTATAGCACCGGTCGGAGAAGTCTATCCTACAACCAATGACACTATATTTTGACACATATATCTACTATAAAGGGTCCTGTAGCGAAAATAAAAAGTTAAAAAATATCATACATCAAATGATTAGCATTGTAATAAATGATATATTTAAATTATTAATTAGAACAAACATTACCTACATACAAGTGCATAGATAATTTGCTTCACTGCAGCAGTTTATGATCACTATTAAATAACAAAAGAATTACATATGAGTAAAATGAGTCTGAGAAACTCAGAAATATAGCATGAAATAGATAACGTTAGATGTATAAGTGTTGTACAGATTTGGTGTATTTCTATACTATGGAATGCAGATGATACTCATACAGGATACATTTATTTTTGATTTAAAAGCATGATATATTATTAGGGTAGAATAAGAAAGCACATAGAATTTGGATTAATATTCTTTTCATCTGTATTTGTTTCAATGAAAATGCAGATTTTCTATTTCTAATTTTTAAAGCAGAGAGCTACAACGAATATGATTAATGTGAAATATTTAGATTTGTACTTAATAATAAAAATCGAGGGCCCGGATAGAAATACTTATTCTCCTGCACTTTGTAGTACCTAAGCTTGGTAAGAATCTAAATAAACTTTATAGATGCTTTATCCTATTAAAAACAAATTGGGTAAGAATGTAAAATGATTGCATATTTATTATTATAATAATAAACCATAATACACAATTTATATTGATATAGTAAAAGACTGAAGCTTTATTCTAAAATAATAGATTTTCAAATGTTTCAAAAATAGAGCTGAGATACTTTCTGAAAATAAATTACTATTTTTACTGATTACATTGATATAGAATAAATTATTAAGAATTTAGTTTTAAGTAATGCGTGAATTATTTTGTACAAATTAAAAATAAAATATTATACAATATAAATAAATATAAATAGAAAAAATGAATACAGATATTATAATCTAACTACCTACATACCAATGAACCTATTTTGTAATTTATAGCTCTAAGTAAAAATATAAAAACTACAAAAATTAGAGAAAAAAAAAAAAAAATTACTAACATTAAATAAAAACAAATTAAAGAACTTAATCTTTCAACGATTTAGCAATTGAACATAAAAGATGCAAAAGAGTAACATATTCACTACAACCTTCTTGTAATCTATAAGCACAAATACTAATGGATTTAGAAATTAATGACTTTTGTTTGTCTTTTAAATCAGTGGCAAACACAATTTTGTCATGCAACTGTTCTAATATCTGAGATGCTGAATAGGCCTCAAATATAAGTTCTTCAACAAAATCATCCATTTTTTGATAATCATAAAGACGACCAATGTCTATCATACGGTTTAACCAGATGTCAGGTACAGTACCAACAACTTCAAGTACATCTGCTTCTTCAATAACTTCTCCACCTTTTAATCTAGCTGTACTTTGAAGTGACGTGATTGCTCTTCGCATATCACCTCCTGAAGCATCTACTAATTGTGCCAGCACTCGTTTACTACACTTTACTTCTTCTTCTTTACATATATGCTCAAGACGTGTCAATATGATGTCATGTGATAAAGGTTTGAATCTGAACTTGGAGCAACGAGATGTTAATGGGTCAATAATGCAACTTACATAATTGCAAATAAGACAGAATCTAGTAGTCTTGGTTTCTCGTTCAATAGTACGCCTCAAAGCTGCTTGAGCTGGAGCTGTCATTGAGTCAGCTTCATCTAGGACAACAATTTTGAAAGATGGACATGGTTTACCATCAGGTCGTCGGTCAGAAGCTGTGAGTTGTGCAAAAGTTTTGACTTTATCTCGAATCACTTGAATACCACGATCATCAGATGCATTAAGTTCTAGCATGCGGTCCTTGTACATATCTCCAAACAGCTGACGAGCAGCCGCAATTATTGTACTAGTTTTACCAGTACCAGGAGGGCCATAGAATAAAAGGTGAGGCATATCAGCACCTTGCTCCAAACATTGTTTTAGTACAGCTACAATTTCTGACTGCTCAGATACCTCATCAACTGTACGAGGGCGATATTTTTCAACCCAAGGTGTAGTGCTGTCAGAGATTCCTCTAGATCCCTTTTTACTTTTAACACTGCTACTAGTAGATTGTAGTTCTGGATCTATTTTTCCAGTTTTTAAAAAAGAATCCATACTAAAAACAAAAATTCATTATTTAAAAACTATATACTGTTAAACATGATATAATTATAATATATAAAATATTATAAAATTGTTCATCATAAAATAACTTCTGATATAAAATAAATTACTAAATAGAAAAGAAATTAACATAAAATAGTATAGCATATTTTAAAATTACTAAAGAAATTACAAGCAATGCAATACAAATATTATCAAAGTAAAAATAATTAAAACATTTCTCAAAATAGTTATTTTAACTATATTTATGATAGTTTACTGTATAAAAATTAATTAATTAATGATAGTTTACTATATAAATTAATAACAATATATTTCAAAATGTATATTAATTAATGTTTTTCTCTTTTTTTTTTTTCTATATTAATTTATTATTTACAATAATCACTCTAACTAATAATATTTTTCTCTCACTATTTACAATTTATTTATTAAGTTAATACTTAATTTACAAATTTATGACTTACAATTTGTGTATTAATTAATATTTTAATACTTATTGAACACTCACTTCCATGGAGCCAGTAGATTGGAAGTGACAAATTTCTGTTATTTATATTAGTATTTTTTTTATAATATTAATAATTGAAAAATAAAATAAAATCTTATATACTTATTTAAAATTATTTATTAAACTATTTTATTTTCAAATAGCTAACAATTATATATAAGATATTAAAAAAATTAATCTAACATAATTAGTATATGTAAATGTAAATATTAATTTTAAATTAAATGCTAATTTTTATAGTCTTATTTAACTTACTTTTATTTTTTAACTTAATGAGCTGTAATGCCTATTTTAGCAACGGTTTGATCATAAATATGGATAAATTTGTAGAAAAATTCAGCAATTAAATTCACTTTATCTACAAAAATTAATAAACAATATTATTAATTAATTATGAATAGAAATTAATATTCTTTTTTATAAAACATACTATTAAAATGTATAGATTAAAAATATACCTAAATATTGTAAAATAATCAAGCAAAATTTAATATCTGTTCAACAACTGAACATAAAATATTAAAAAAAAAACCGGTTTTTACACCAGTTCCTATTAAGTAAAATACTGCTTATTTAAATTAAATAAGTATATTAAACAATAAAAATTGAATTATTATAATATTTTAATGAGATCCTGGTGGGCAACATACCTATGCAGCATTCATAGGTGACTATTTTGGATTTTATTGATTAACCCATGTACTAAAATAACAAGCTTAAAAAAATAGCGCTAATATTATATGCTACTTAAGTAATAAACATTTATTGTTATTGATGTAACAGGCAGGGTGTTCTAATCAAAATTAAATAAAAATTATATTGAATCAAGATATAAATTATGGCAGGGATTTAGAGGAAGATCTAGAGAACAGGGATTTAAAAATATTATGTAAAATGTATTATATTTTTTTATTTATTTATTTTTTTTTAAAGGGGAATTAAATTAATACTTTAATATATAAATTAATTGTAATTGTATTGATTTGAATCCATATATAAAAAAGATAACAAATATGTTGTAAAAATAGTCCAGAAGGTAAAAGTGAACATAATGTGAATGAAATGAATAATTAAAAATACAAAGGATTCAGGATTGAACAGATGCAAGATAAGACACTTAAAAACAAGTAAATGTAACTGATAGTAGAATATATTTTAAATTTTATAGTAAAATACCTAATTACTTACAAATAGGTATGCATAGTTGAAAAATATTTTATCATAGTCGTACTATATATAAAAGAATGGAAATATTTGATAGTATTCGGACTGAAACAAATCACAAATGTATTAAGAACTAGAGTTCTTGCATATAATCCACATTAGTAGTCCAAAAATCAGAAAGGAAAGATGAAAAATTAGAAAAATAAAATAAACTCAAATAGTATTTCCTCTTGAATCCGAGCAGTGAGCATGAACAATGTGGTCGTAACAACAAAGCATTTGGTGTACACACACGAGTATTAAAAAATAAATCACAGACTGATAATTTAATAAAATGGTATTAGAGATTTTACAAATTCAGCAGCGAATTAACGATCTTATAAAGGGTGAATAAATATCTTCCAAATTATAGCGTGTTTTCGAACATTGTTTTAAATACAGCGGTCACTGTACACAATAAATAAATACACAGAAATTACTTACAATTTAAACATTAAGCACACAGTGATGATTGTAGTGAACTAAGGATAGTTAACGAAACAACTCGATCGTAATTTTACGTTTTAGAGTTGAAGAAAAGCGTTCACCTATAACAATTGTTAACTATGACGGGCCAGTGTTTTAGCTGTGAGTTCGTTGCCACTGTGATAACATCACATTTACCGCCAAAAAAGATATTTTTGAAATATATATATATATAATATATATAAATATTATTTTTTCCATTGAAATGGTAACTTGTGTTATACGGTCTGTGGTTGTAAACGTTATCATCGGTGATCAAAATTTAGGTTACGTTTTTAATAAGTTATACCACGGTTTTAGATTACGAACATCCGACTAGATCTTTCTTTTCAAATTTGATAACATCCATGAAAGATCGCGAGATCTTTCAGAAGTTGTGTACAAAAAGTAATTTCAACTTCCAGTTTTGAACTATATATTTAATCATTGTATTATAAAAGTTTATAGTTTGAAAAGTATCGTTCAAATTTTATTTATTTTTTTAAATAATTGTATATAATCCTTAACATAATATATCGTTTTAAGTAAGTTCCTAAACTTAATTTTTTAATATTATCGTGTCAACATTGTAATTTATAATAATTTTTGATATTCCTTTATACATTATTTAATTTTTTACGACATTATATCGAATATAATTTATATAATTACTTAAATAGTCATTTATATAACCTAGTATAAACAATTTACTTGTGTTTGTAAACAAGTGTTGATTTACTAAATAACTACTTGCATAAATTTCTAGTTCAACATTTTATTTTAATGTTCATTTACTTTAGTTACTTTTAATTATGGCTGAAGAGGAATCAAGTTTGAAACCATCTTATCCATTGAAAGTGTTGTACTGTGGAAATTGTTCACTTCCTCCTGAATATTGTGATTTTTCTTCAGACACTGATCGTTGTAGGGAATGGTTAGAAAAATATTTACCAGATGAATTTAGTAGACTGATGACATCAAGTGGGGCTGCTGGTGGAGATGATTCTGATGAGAAAAAACGTCAAAAACGTGGCGGTAAAGGTATGGTAAAGTCAAAGAAGAAAGACGAAGGACCTAAACAAGTAAGTGTGTTTCTTGTTTATATAAAAGCTTTAAAAAATGTAATAGTTTACTGAAATATTTAAACTGTTTAGGTATGTCTCTCCAGAGCACCAAGAGGCAAGAAGAAATCTGTTACAGTAGTCACTGGCTTGAGCACATTTAATATTGATTTAAAAGTTGCCGCTAAATTTTTTGGTACTAAATTTGCTTGTGGATCAAGTGTGACTGGTGATGATGAAATTGTCATACAAGGAGATGTGAAAGACGACTTGTTTGATATTATACCTGAAAAATGGCCAGAAATTGATGAAGATTACATTGAAGATCTTGGAGATCTTAAACGGTAATCAAAATAAGAAGATCATTATTATTTCAAACAAAAAATTTTCAAATGCTGAACTTAGTGTTTGACAATATCCAATTCTCAATTTATTGTCTACATAAAATAATTGAATTAAAGAAACTAATATAATTCAGATTATTTCCATTCACTCAGTTTTTCAATTTGTATACCCCATTCCTTTACTTCCTTATCCACCTAAAATTAAAATATGCATATAATCAATTTTTAAAGTATTTGTAAAATGAATCTGTTCATTTTTAGTAAAAGTATAAAATTGTTTTATTTATAAATAATAAAAAATTAATTTATTTAATATATTTTTTTCTTTTTGCCAAAATGTATATAAATTTAGAGGGCCATTGAAACTAGTATATTAAGTAAAATAATGAGAAATAAATTAAATATAAATATAGCTTTCTTTAAAATAATTTAATGTTTATTAAGTATAATAATGAGAAATCAATTAAATATAAATATAGCTTTCTTTAAAATAATTTAATGTTCTAGTACAGTGTTTCCCAAATATACACAAAATAAAAAAAAAATGAATCGTGCCTCCTAATAAAACATTTTTATTATTTTTAATATAGCAAATTATTGTCGATGGAATAATAAATATATGGTAGTGCCTTATACAATATAAATATTTTCCTTGCACATACCCTAATAATTGCCTTTGCTTCCCGAGGGATGCATGCCTCACCTTTTAGGAACTTCTAATCTGTTACATAGAAATAAATAGTAGTTTGGTAAATGTATTAATATCTAAAGTTTTAACAATAACATAAAAAAAATATCAACAAATATTAAAGGGATATTCTAGTGATTAAATCCAATATTATGATATTAAAAAATTTAACAAGATTTGACTTATAATCTAAATTTAATGACAATTTAATTTTATATTTTTCCAGCCGTATAATTTAATAAATCATATTACCCTAATTGAAAAGGTTTTTTATAAAAAATGTGATAAATTAATTAATTACAAAAATCTAAGTTCTTTATATTTATTTTTATCTAGCTACTTTAAGATTTAAAATCAGCCTGCGGTAGTACTTTAGAGAGATAATTTTTCAAAAATCTCAAAAGTTTTCCTAGTGTTAGGAAAAACCAAGTAAAGATTATAAAAATGCACTGTAAACGAGACTCAGATTTTAGTTGAGTCAGCCATAACTAAAATTAATGTATAGAAACCTGGAAACTTTCTCTATATCAGACTTTTTCTTTCATATCTAACAAAAATTTCAAAAAAGTTAAGCCTTTCTAGTATTATGCATACATAAAATAATGTATTAGATGAAATAATAGTGAAATACTTAAAACAAATTATAACTATTAAACTAGACACCATAAAATGTTGAATTGACACTTTTAGAAGAAACATTAGTTCATCATTATTATTCAAACCGATAGGTATAATAATTACTAGAACAGAGTTAATATAAAAAAATAATATAAAAACAATACCACGAAAATTAAACAAATGTAAATTAGCATGTAAGCATTTTTTAAGTAGGTTAAGTTTGATGATAAAGGAGAGAAATATGTAATAAAGAGGACTCTTATGGTGAGCGTGTGATTCAATCATGGTAGTGAGACAGCGTTTTTCTAAGTATTACTTTAATTTCTTTTTGTGTTTACGTCTATATGTTTGTTTTAATTTATGTATATAATATCCTCTTTAAACATTTAATATCAACTCTCATATACTTACCTATTTAAAATTATTTAAAGGATATATTTTTATACTGAAGTTTTGCTCGGAATTGTTAAACTAAATAAATAAGTTATTATTTCTTTAAAAATCAATACACCCATTACTAGTGTCCAGTTCTAAGACTGAAGAGATAAAGAACAAATTTTCGCCTCCATTATCTTACTGGCTTTTTTGATTCTGTGTTTATAATTGATACATATACTTTTCTTGGTATTTTTGTTTCTAAGATTTTTTTTTTTTTATTGCCCTGTGTGAATGATCAATAGCCAAACATTTTTATAGGAATACCAAAATAACTTGAAATCCTATTATGTAAAAACATTTTACAAAATATTGTAAAACTATAAATGTTTAATAATAATAATAATAATAATAATAATAACAAAAAATTTACTTAGTTTATTAGTTATATTATACAATTTGTAAAAAAAAATTGCTAATTTACTTATATGAAGTAAATGAACGTACCTACATCTTACATATTTGGATTTTTAATTTATGACATAGATATAATTTTTAATAATATAAACTTAAAAGAGTTATAAACCTATTACAGTAGATAATGATAAATTTGAATCCAAAAAACTTGTTAATATAAAAATATGAAGTTATAAAAACTTCAATATGATAAAATTTAATAATTAATTGTTCAATATATCAGATAATTTTAGAGTTGTTGTTCAGTACTAAATATATGTAAACGACCAGACGAATTTCCTCCAACATAAATAGCCTGAGTTGGGTGTACTTCTATGACTGGACAATAAGTAGTCATTTTGTTAGAAGTTAGTGTATGCAACAACTTTCCGTCAGAGTGAAATACTTGTAACTGAAAATAAGTAAAAGATAAATTTGTAAATAATAAAACTTAAAAACATTTTAAGTTGTACACCTATGATTTGACATATCATAGAAAATGAATCTTAATATATTTTTAAGTAAATAATATAAGATTTTGAATTTAAAAAATCACATAATACATATCTTCAATAATATATGTTTGATTAAATAAATAATTTAACTTTAAAAGAAAATTACAATTACCATTTTTATAATTTAAAATTAAGGGTGAGAATTCATATATGTCTAAAAATGGATCTCTCTCAACTATCTCCCTGATAACTATCCCTAGTATAAAAATTGAAAATATTGATTTAAAGTGAAATACCAATCACACTAGTATAAATTATAAGATACATATTTGTCTATAGCTGTTATTCACATAAAATGCAATTTACTTTATAGTTTAGTTAAGACATGGTTTACTATTTAAAAATATTAAATAGTCATAAAAAGTAAAAATGCACTATTTCTTTACTAAAAAAATTAAATAAAATTTATTATTTATTATTATTTGGTTAATATTTCACTTACATCAGTATATTTCATTCAATTTCACTTTATTGTATGAAGTTTATATAGTATACCTGTTTAGGTGTTAACATTGAACCAATAAAAAAGGAGTCGTCCCTATTTGGATTCCATTTTGCTTTCATTACTGAAAGCCATCGCCCTGTATGGTTATTATGATTAATGTTTACAAATGGTTCTAAAAAATAATATTTTATTTATTAAAACATGATTAAAATTTTATAGTATAAATTATATTTCTTTTTGATTTTTATTAATATGGATTCAATTTAACAAGGTCACTAGAATGACAATAGTTATTTAATCATAGTTAATAATAGTTAATTATTATTTATGTACTGAAAACAAGGCCGTAACTGGAAAAAAATTTGGGGGGGGGGTCTAACATTATTATTTAATACAATTTATAGTTAATAAACTATATTCACCGCTAAAATGTTTCTACTTTTGAAAATTTTGGGGGGGAGGGTCCAGACCTCTGGACCCCTTTAGTTATGGCCTTGACTGAAAATAACAGTTTGCTTCATTACTCCATTCAGATTTCTTCACACATGCTACCTCCAGTATAACTTAACCAATTTTAAATTAAGCTAGTACTTATAAAGTATATTTGAAAAAGCATAGTATAAAATAATATTACAATTATATTTTATTTAATAATTAATTAGTTTTGAGTCTTCAAAAATAATTAAAAATATATAACTCATATAAAGATCAAAAATTTTATTTTCAACTTACTTGTATATTCTGAATTTAATTTAGAAGTATTAAAGATTCTAACTTTATCATCATTACTCGTTGAAACCATCTTAATGCCAGTAGCAGAAAAAAATGCACTTGTTAATGATTTTGAATGATCATACTGTAATACTGGATTAATTGCTTTGTCGGTCATATTTCTTATGTCCCACAAAGATACCTCGCTAAAAATAAAAATAAATTGATACTAAATATATTGTTATTAATTAAATTTTGTAATTGTTGATTACCCCACTCCAGATGAAGTCAAAAAATAATTTTTTTCCAAAGGATGACACTGAACTGTACGTACAGATCTACTGTGGCACCAAGAAGTGTTCATTATTATATTAGGTTTTCGTGTATCAATTAAATCTACATGACCAGAACCTTTAAAAAAGTAAGAATAATTTTAGAATTTTGAATAAAATTTAATCAACAAATAAAAAATACCACTGCCTATAAGAAGGTTTCTTTCATATTCAGTATGCCAAGTAGTATGATAACCATGTAATCTTGTTTGCAAATCATTGTTATAAATCTATATAAATAATGTAACATTTAATTAGTAAAGCTAAATAGCTACACAAATTTTGGGTGAATAAATTTTACTGACAATATCAAAAGTCTGTTTATTAATATCACCACATCTAACTGATCCATCATGGCTAGTTGAAAACAACTTATGTGGATCCCAAGTGCAAAACGAAATACAATTCACAGGAGCACCATGTACTTGATAACTTCGTGAGTCATTATCAATTTTGTTAAATAAAGCTACAAAATTTAATAATTACTGAATAAGTAAACTTATTAATCATAAAGAAGATTTGAAATTTATTTTAACTTAAAATTAAAAGAAAAAATAATTAAAAATAACCTTACTTATGTTTCCTTTAATGTCACCAACTACAATTATCAAAGATGTTTCAGAAGGATGAATAGCAAGCGAGTAGATGCGGCCAGCAGATACCTTTATTGAGTCATTGTTCATATCCAGGCTTTTAACTACTTTGGTAAATCTAAATAAAACATTCAAATATGTTATGGTTAGATTACCTGACCATGATTCTAAATTGTTAATAATGTTTAATTAAATGCATACCTATCAATATCGCATGTATGAAAATCATTAACTGCTTCTTTAACAACTAAATCAGCACTTAATTTTTTAAAAAAAGTCGAATCTTCATTTGGTGTAAGTATGGAAACTTAATAAAAAAAAAAAAAAAAAATTATAATTAATAATAATTAAATTTGATTTTGATTTGATAATTATTATTATACACTAGCTGAAATTGAAAAAATATTCAAAGGTGTTTTTAGAAATAAAATAGATAAAAATAAATAAAGCCTATTTAAAAAGGATAAATATAACCTTAGAAATTAGTTAAATGCATGTTCTGTAGTTATTTTAAGTATTACCTACTAAACAAATCTTTGATTGTTTATTTACGAAAAACTCTAAATCAATATTTAAAAATATATGCTCAGAAATAATTTTTTAATTATTAGTATTTCTTGTGTATTATTAAACTTTTTATACTTATGAAACATATCAATGAATAAGAATGAAAAAAAAAAAAAATAGCATAAAAAAACCTAGAAATTAACTATAATTTAACATAGAACTTAAAATGTAAATACATACTTTGATTAACAACATTATTATCATCAACATCATTTGAATCTAATTCTTGCGTTAGACAATTGGGTTTAGTTGTAGAATCAATCAGGTCACTTAAAGGTATATTAGCTAATCTTAATGAACGTCTAGTAGGTCTAAATAAAAAAAAAAAAAAATTAAGGGTCTTAAATATAAAAAATTAAAATATAGGATTAAATTATTTAACACTCACATCATAATCCCTTTAGTTCTTAAATTATATTTTTTTTTTAACAGTTTTTTTCCTTTTTTAACTGGTACAGTATTTTTTAAATTATCTGCCAATGTATCTGCAGCTTCGTTTACACCAAGAATTCTAAAAAAATGTATATATATATACATATAGATATATTTAAGGAAAAAAATGGTAAGTAATTTAAGAAAAATTTCCTCAATAATGAACAACATTTTAAAAATAATTTAACTCACTCTAAAAGACTCATGTTTTCTTTCATCCTTTTATCTCTAAGTTGTGCATATGTCAAATTCTCATCTTCTTCATCAGAAAGCATATCATTTTCAGTCAGTTTTGGAGATGAAACATTTTCACTTTTGTTAATTCTAAAAGCAAAACAAACATATAATAGTCATAAACATACAATATGAATACTGAGTAATAAAGGCCAATAAAATAGCTTACTTCAACTCGTCCATGTCTAATTTCATTATTTTTATTTCATTCCGTGGATTTGTTGAATTCCAATTTTTATTTTTGGGCATTGTTACGGTTTTAGAAATTTATAGGGTACGACACAGATCAGCGTAATATTCACTGTCCTTGTAGGTCTCGGTTGTAGGTATATACTCGATTGAATATTTTACGAACGAAATATAAATTAAATAGATAGTTAAATCGCCAAATTAAGTAAATAATTCACAAACAAGGCAACGGAAAAGTGGTGAAAAATCGCCGGACACAAAACGAGTAACAATTTCACATATTGCAATGAATTATAGACGGACTTCAGACAGGATACAGGAAAATGGATATCGGACACAATTGTTGTTTTTATCCTACGAAATTCGAATAACCTATAATAGTTCGGTAAATTGGCGCGAACATTTACAACCTCCTGGACATCCGAACTGTGTTTTTTTTATCTATCCAGTGTTTTATCACCGTGAACGTTTGCAGTGCTTGCACATTATTGTTGAATTAATTATCGAGGTTGATGTTTGACATTAGACGCGTTTCTTGCATACCTGTTTTATTATTGCGTCTGTGCATTCTATCAACTTTTTGGCGTCCAGCGATTCGGTTCCCAAAAATTTACGGTGGCCCGATCGAGTCGACGACGGTGTCACTCGCGGTCCGTCTCCAACCGGAATTGCTGAAAGTGGTACGTACGTCCTTATTTTTTAACGTGTTTTACTCATTGTTAAACTCTTACATAAACGCTCTCTTGCGGATCCCCGGCCGGCGTTCGGTTCGACAATCCTATTGTTAGCATAAATTGTAATTATAACATTTGTTCTGAAGACAACTGTCGGTTAAGACCGACTAATAATGCTCTTATATGTGATACGTGTGTTTGCTACGTGTTTACAGGTATTTTTATTTCGTTGAGAATTTTGTAACGCAACATATTGTTTTTACAACTCTACTGTTAAACAATAATCGTCATCGTCATTTCATCAAAAATAACTTAAACAATCATTTTATAACATGTGATTGGATGTAGGTATATAGGTAGGAATTATCTTGTGACTAACTTGAATTTACAAAAAAGTACAACATGAGCCATGACTTCACGAGTGTTCTGTGTAATATATTTGAACGAAAAAATGAACAATTATTGTATTATTGTATTGAGATATTGTACATCTATGAAAGTCTAGAATACAGTTTAGATTAATTTTAAAATTCTATATATTTTATTTATTATTTACTTAAATACAAATTAGAAAAAATAATGATTCTCTTTTTTGTTGATTTGAAATGGTATTCAGACAATTGATACCAGGTAGTTTTGTTGATATCGGACTTTCTGCACCTGATATTTTTAGAACGCGAACAATTGACACTAAGCGATTATAATTACGATAACCGCGAGTAGGTGCCTACTACCTATAGTCTATAGTTATTAGTTACTATTTAGTGCCTGTACTCTGTAGTGTGTTCATTATCCAACCATTTTAACAATTTAATTTAAAAGTTATTCATTCAGTATGAACTCAGAATGCTCAATAGATGAAATTTAAATAATAAAAAATTAATTATTTGTAATTACATTTATGTTTTTCAAAAATAAGTGGATGGGCTATAGCATTGTAAAATTAGTGTAATGACAAATTCATTCAAAACTAAAGTTATAATGCTTAAATGTTGATTATTAATTATTTTATTGTATTATATTATATGCATTCATATTCGGTATCAATTGTCCTATTATTGGGTGTCATATGTCTCGGGTATCAAATGTCCTAGATACATTTTAAATATGATTATAATAACATGATACAATTACTAAATATTATTTATTTTGTATATTGTATATGTATTACTTTTGTGATATTACTACACAAAACCGATGGTAACTAAGGAAGAAATTATTAGGATTGCATACATTATTGACTTAATAAAGAATTTCTACCTATTGTATTTACGATAATATATTAAATGTTCAAAAATGATCTATTTATAATAATTAATAATCTGTGTATCAAAAATTATGCCAAAAATGTAAACAAAACCACCTTTTATTGTTTTTAAAATTGATCCTTTATGTAAACTAAATTATTAATATTGCCTTTGAACATTATCTATTAAAATATGTGTAATAGATTTATATATTATCATTTAAAACTTTTTTTTCGTATTTTTGATATATATATTTTCTACTTAGGTGTTGTAATGATTAATTGCATCAAGTTAATACCATATGCTACCTCAGTTGTTGTTGGCTTATACTTGATAAAGTAATAATTACCATTGTAAATCGTTTAATTTTCTTAAATAAGATAATTATAAAATTCAATTCATAAAGTTATTTCTAAAATTAACTTTTATTGACTAACTATTAATTGTTATTTTATGATTAAAAAAGGTATTTTATTTTTAAAAAAAAAAAACTTTGAATTTATATACTTATGCAATGTTTATGGTTATTTTAGGCGTTACTTTGCTGGTGGTGTTTGTAAATGTAATACTGACCTAACTGGTAAAACTGTAATTGTTACTGGAGGTGCCACTGGTATTGGTAAGGAAGTTGCTCTAGCTCTAGCTAAAAAAGGTAAATCATTAATTGTTATCAATAAGTCTTTAAATTATATATATATATATATAGGTACTAATTTATCTTTTGTATTTTAAGGTGCTAAAGTGGTGATAACTTGTCGAAATCAATTTGAACGGTTATCCCTTGAGGACAAGTGGTTGTTGAACCTTGAATATTTATACTTGGATCTTAAATCATTCAACAGTATTCGGGAGTTTTCTCAAGTTATTCACGACCGTAAGCTTATTTTGTAATTAAAATATCTGTTCAATTTTCTTGTATATCAGTCAATATGCATGAACCTGAAGTTAATGAAGAAGAATCACTAATCCCGCCTGGTGAAGATGTCGCTCTTCCCCCAGCCCTTGAACAAGCATTGAATTATAAAGAAGAAAGAGCAAAAGAAGTTGGTGTTATTGATGGAGTAACAGAAGTAGTATCTGAATTTTCACAAGAAAATGAAAGTGAAGTTGTACAGTCTCTAAATGAAGATGATGATGATGATGAAGAAGATGATGAAGAAGAGCAAGTAGTTAAATTGTCTACAAAAGATCGCAAAGTAGCTAAAAGAAGAAAGAAGAAGTACAAGAAGAAAAAGAAAAAGCAGTTAAAAAATGAGCAAAAAGAAAAAAAAGTGTCATCATCTTCAGATAAAGAGAATAAGGTTGAAAAAATAGATATAGAGGTTGAATACATACAAGAAACACTAAGTGTGTTTAATCTTGTACCCATGTATAGACAATATGCTAAAGTTTTTGAAAATTTTAAAATTCCTGAGCCAGAACAGAAACCAGCAGATACTACTGGTGGCCAAGAAGCAACTTTACCTAGTTTAGATTTAAAGAAAGTACCTAAACTTCCTGAACAAGAAGATGATGATGATGATGATGGTAGAGATAAAGATGATAATCAACCCAAAGGACCTGATAAGTTATCAAGAAGACAATTTAAAAAAGTTACGCGCTTAAGTGTAGCTGAACTTAAACAACTAGTTTCTAGACCAGATGTAGTAGAAATGCATGATGTTACTGCTAGAGATCCTCATCTTTTAATACAATTAAAAGCTCACCGTAACACTGTACCTGTACCTCGTCATTGGTGTTTTAAGCGTAAATATTTGCAGGGTAAACGAGGTATTGAAAAACCACCGTTTGATTTACCTGATTTTATTAAACGCACTGGTATTATGGAAATGAGAGCTGCTCACCAAGAAAAAGAAGATGAAAAATCTCTAAAAAATAAAATGAGAGAAAGAGTTAGACCTAAAATGGGTAAAATAGATATTGATTACAAGAAATTACACGACGCTTTCTTCAAATTACAAACTAAACCTAGATTATCTCTTCATGGCGACTTGTACTATGAAGGTAAAGAATATGAAACTAAACTTCGAGAAAAAAAACCTGGTGATTTAAGCGCTGAGTTGCGTACGGCATTAGGTATGCCAGTTGGTCATAATGCCCACAAAGTCCCTCCACCATGGCTTATTGCCATGCAACGTTATGGTCCTCCTCCATCATATCCAGCTCTTAAAATCCCCGGTCTTAATGCTCCCATTCCTGAAGGATGTTCTTTTGGTTATCATGCTGGTGGTTGGGGAAAACCACCTGTAGATGAACGTGGGCGACCACTTTATGGAAATGTTTTTGGTACTCCATCTGATTATGATGAATCCCATGTAGCTGAAGAGCTTATAGATAAATCAATGTGGGGAGAACCAGATTCAGAATCTGATGCTGAAGAAAGTGAAGAGGAAGAAGAAGAAGAAGAAGTCAAGGAAGCTGAGGAAGTGGCAATTGATGCTAGTGGTATTGCTACACCAGTTGCAGAAGGCTTAGCTACTCCTTCAGGCATTATGTCTGGATTACCTAGTGGTTATGAAACACCTGAATATATTGAATTGAGAAAACGAAAGATTGAATCTGAAATGGAAAGTAGTGAACAACAACCACTGTACCATGTATTGCCAGAAAAGAAGGTTGATACTGTACGTGGTTCGATGATGGCATCTACACATATGTACGATATACCAACTGCAGTTGCTAATAAACCTGGCGAAGTTGAAGTCAGTTTAGATCCATCTGAATTAGAGTTAGCTGGAGATGTTGAAGCTATGGCTGCTAGGTATGAGCAAAGAATGAAGGATCAACAGGGCGGGGAAGATGATGGTACTGAGACTGAAAAGAAGAAAGGCCAAAAACGAAAAGCTGCTCAAGAAGCAAAAACAAGCAAAAAATACAAGGACTTCAAATTTTAAGCTAATAAGATTAGATTATACTTATATTTTAGAGAACATTAGAATATTATTTATAAATCGTAACTGATAGTACTGTATTTTGTATATATCCTCTAGATATTATATTATTATCAGACATGAATTGGTTCAACTTTTTTTTTAAACATTAAACAAAATTAATTTAATACAATTAATACTTATAATACAAATGAATAATATTTTACCATTGATTTATTCAATAATTAGTTGGTTAAATTTTGATCTAATTGAAAATTAATTCTGCTCATGAAATAAAAATTACCTAATCATGTAGATAAAAAATTATAATGTTGTCTAAACATAATTAATAATCGCACAATGTTTGTCTCATACAACATTACATAAATAACAATTGATTTGCAAGTATTAACATTTAATAAATGAGTGAAAAATTTTATTGTATTTAATAAATGGCTTATAAAAAATATTTTTATTTTTCAATACCTTAAATAACAATTTTTTTTTTTTTTTTACTATTCAAACTGCTTGTTTTTAAATTATTACAAAATATGACATAATAATATAAAGTAAGCAACATTGTTTCTTTCACAAAATACTTGTATTTAGTTAGAGATACCTAGTTAAATATTATGAAAACGCTTTGAGTTGATTTTGTGTGCAAAGAAAGTGTTATTTTCTGTTAACAATATCATAACAGTAAAATAAGTTCACATTTGTTAACCATATAGTAGTATGTAATAATATAAATTCAATATACACATTAAATGGCAAAATATGATTAGATTATATTAATTATAAATGTATAGAATGCCTTGTGTTTTGTTTATTTTCAGGTTTTGATTCTATATATGCTTTGGTGAATAACGCCGCAGTGTTTTATCAAAATTTCCATTGGACTGAAGACGATTTTGAGTCAACATTTCAGACAAATTATTTAGGCAAGAACCCATTTCGTATTAAATTTATATAATATTGCTTACAAGCTCGAGTAAACCCTGATAAGCATTTTATTTATTTGATTCTAATGCAGCTTTAACATCATATATATGTATGTAATAGAAGGTACCTTATTAATCATAAATATTAAAAATTGTGTTTTTACACTTTTTATTATTTGTAATTAAAATGATTAAGAACTGATTATTTTCATTTGCTATCTAATTTTTACTGTAATATTGTTAATTATATATAATTCTATCTATATCTATATATATACTAATTATTTTAAATTTTTATCTTAGTCCCAAATTAAGATCTGAGAGAGGTTCTCCCTTAAATAAGATATTTTTTTAGACTTATTATTTGTTGATTATCTTATTATCTTATTTATTAAACAATTTGCATTAAAGTCCCTCCCTTTATATAGTCCTGCAGCCACGTTATTTTTTTAATTGCTATTATTTCACATATTTATAATATCTAAATTACACTCTATAGAATGGCTATGGTGACAAGTAAATCAATAATGTAATAGATGAATTAAATTGTTATTTTCTTAAACTTTTAACAATTATAATGCCTATAAAAGGATATATATTAGGGCAATGCATTGAATAAATATTTAGAAAAAGTATTGTCGATAGGTTTCTGTGTAGAGCCAACTTGGACTTATTTCTGGAAATAATAAAATTATAAAATTTTGATGAAGTTGTAACACAATTTATGTTGTAAAAATTGATGAATAACTTGAGTCGATATTGAAAAACATGATCGTCAATTAAATACCGACTTGACATTTTGATTTTGTTTTTTACCGATCGGTGCCCGGGACCGATGTACGTTAAGGAATTCCAATCAGGAACTATAAAAATTTGACTTCAAGTCGTACACGTGTAATCGACGACGGTGTTATTTCATAGGTCCGTTCCTCCTGACGCACCTGTTGCTCGATCTGATCCACGCGTCCCCAGACGGCGGCCGCATCGTCAACGTCACTTGCGAAGCGCACCGATACGTGCGCGGATTGAAACCGATCTACGCCAACTTGGGCTATCTTTCCCATAGCCGCTTTGCTGCGTACGCCGAGTCCAAAGCTTGTCTGCAGCTGTTCTCGCACAAGCTCTCGCTGTCGCTGACTGGTAAGAAATTTACCGCATCGTACACCGTAGGATATAATCTACGAGATATAAAAAAAAAAGATTCGGGATCAATATTATTATAATATTGCGCGGATTTTTATGTAATTACATATATTTATTGAATGTGAATTTCTCAATTCTAATTAAAAATAAGCACGTTTCATAACACCCTGAATAATATGAGACCTTTTTTATTTTACATATTTTCACATACTTTGATGTAAATACATATTTTTAAATATTTAATTAATATTTACATATTTTGTAAATATTTCATATTTTCATACCATTTCAATACAGTTTTTATTTAATTTACAATTATTATATTGGAATTAAATGAAAGAAGATATTTCAAATCTTAAATCAGATACTACAACTGCTATTACTTCTGATATGTAAATTAATAACTTGCAATATAATTTAGCAAATATTTCCAAAAAAATTTTTTTTTGGTTAAAATAATAAAGTATTAGAAACATTGAATCTAATAATAATTGAAAGTCTCGCGATAGTGGAAAATGCAGAAATTTAATGAAATTATGTTCAAGTAGAATCTGGAGTTATAAAAAAAAAATAATTAGACTACGTACTGGGTAATACGTTGGTTTACAAAAAAATTAAAACTATTTGATATAATCTTATTAATATAAATGAAAATATGTCAAATTATATTGAAGTAACACCATTCGATGTATGTGGTATGAAATATGCCCCATTAACCTCGGGTGACGTTGAATACAGCCCCAGCCGCTACGAGTTGACTTTGAAATCAACCGCCGTACATTAAAATTTAAAAATCTTTAAATGTACGTCTTATCTAATCGTTCCGAAAAAGACAACATTGAAGATGATTAAATGAATAATTATTAATTAATAATTAAAAATTAATGGAAAATACCGATTTTTTTTTTAAATATTTTACGTTTTTTAATACATATTTTAGTAAAAATAAGAACATAAATATTTACATATTTTGATTTTTTTATTACATAAAAATCCGCGCCTTAATTATAATAAATTGTACACGCTTACGACACAACCTTGCAGTCACGCCGCCGATTTATTCACAAACGCGGCCGGAGAAAAATTGTTATTTTCTACACTGACCTTAAAAAAAAAAAATAATTAAAAAAAAAAAAGAAAGGCTTTAGGAAACCTAGTTACTAAGATGTGTCGAGACCTCGTTCGCCAATATCCTCGTACAATCTTATTTTTTCAATTCATAATGTGTATCGGCGAAGTATTTAATTGTGTTGTGCTACTCATGTAATCATTAAAAAAAAAAAAAAAAAAATTGAAAAAGATATTTTATTAATTTGAAATAAAAAAGTAAGGACAATCACAGAATAAGCTTTTAAAATACGTATCTATGCACTAAAAATGGCTAGGTATGCTTATAAATTGCTTTAAATTGGTATTCTGAAAAAAGTGTACAATTTTGACCAAAATGAAAAATGAGATAAACAATTTAAATTTACAAGTACATTTTATCAAAATAATATCTAAGATACAATTAAAAAAATATTCAATAAATATATTTTTAAATTATGAGTGAGACAAGGAATGTATTGGTTCTACCACAATGTCAAGGGTGTATTTTATGTATTGAATATTGTACATTGTATTCATGTACACAATTTTTACCTCAATGATTGCTCCTATCATCACAATCATAAGAGATTTTTCTTAGGAAATGTTGTCTAGTTGGTACTTTGAAATGGGGTAATTTTATGAATTTCCCAACAGTTTATTTCAAAAAAACTGACGAGGAGTTATTAAAAAAATAACCACCGGTTGAGAGCCACTAGTTTATAAAATACTTAAGGGCTCAAATTATGAATTCATTTCATGTCAATCAATCTACTCAAATTTAACACTCCGAAGTTGGTTTCACAAGTTTAGTGTCCAATAGTTTGATAGAAAATTTAGAAAATTTGATGAAAGCGATTGGATTCTTGGAAATTATATTGACAAGGATAATAATTGTCCGTCAGTATATATTTATTGATATTCTTACATATAATCTTCACATAATTATCGATAAGAAAATATTTGATTATTTTTAAAGGATTAAATATGTGATAAGATTGTATAAGTCAGTGGTAGAAGGACAGATCTACCTGATCTAAATGCACCAGCATTTGCTAAATACGTCGTCCCGTGCACCTCGTTTACGTGATCCTGCGTCCACGGTCGCCAGCGGATAAATGATGTTCCGGCGAAAGGAATATGTGCACCAGTGTAGCCAGATCTATAATGACTGCGGTTGGGGGAGTATGATTAAAATTTCCGTATCGAATGTGTAATTACCGTACTTACCTATATTTATTTTCACCAAGAAACAAAAACATTAAGTTTGTATAATCACATTAGTTCATAAAAATAGTCCAATATTTTATTTTTGTAAAATGTCCAAACTACCTGGAATGACTGTTTCTTTGGTAATTTCTTGTTTTTCATAAATATGATCATTGAGCTTATCATTGCTCTTGTTGGTTCAAATTTTACTCAACTACTTAGTTCTTTGGTTCATGTGTTCCCTTGCTAAGAGTAAACTGTTAACTGTTTCTGTACTTAGTTTATTTCTTCCTTTGATTTTTATTAAATAATTTTTGAAAACACCCTCTCGCAATCAATCGAAGAGAGAGGTAAGCTTAGAGCTTTTAATATAAAACCAACAACATTTTTAAATGGTTTTTATTTATTTATTTATTTTTTTTATAGTAATTAATTGGAAACAATTAAAATAACTGTATTTTATATAATCGTTTTTATTCATCCGTCCGCATACACATCCGTCCTACACATTATAGAATTACCATATGCCCCCAACCGCGTCCGTACGTCTGGCAACACTGATGCGCACAGAGTTTTACTACAGAGTTTTCACCGTGGAAATTTCCAGTCGCCTATTTTTTTTTCTCATTCTGGTGTTGACAAAATCAATTTAAAAAATTTAATAATTGACATCCTTAAAAATTTATTTGAAGTAGGATTGTGTCCAAAAGTTGTTTGCGATCAAGGCACAAATAATCAAAGTACTTTAAAATCATTAAATATTTCATAAGATAGCCCATATTTTTATGTTAATAATAATAAAATATTTTCTATATTTGACGTTCCACATTTAATTAAAAGTGTAAGAAATAATTTAATTGAAGCCTGTTTTATTAAAGGTGATAATATAATCTCATTTGATGACATAAAAAAAACTTATGATCTAGACATAAAAAATCATAAAAGTAGGTCTCTCATTAAAATAACAGATGCTTATATTTATCCAAATTCTTTTCAAAAAATGCGTGTTAAATTAGCTACACAATTACTAAGCAATTCAATGTCAGCAACAATCCGAACTTGCATACAAACAGGACAACTTCTAAGTAGCACTGCTTCAAACACAGCAGATTTTATTGAGTTAATTTATTTAGTTAGTTAATTTATTTGATTGTTTAAATAGCCGGTCTTTATATAGCCATAATCCATATCTCTATGCATTAACTGATTCAGGTACTATAAAACATTTTTTATTAGAAGCTTCGCAATACTTCACAGATCTACATAAATTAAAAAAAGGAAAATTTACACAACCACTCTGTTTTAAAGGTTTTAAGCAGACCGTTAATGGTGTATTGCAATTTTTTTTGAAGAAAAATCTAATGATATAGTATTTTTAATGACCAACCGTTTGAATCAGGATGTATTAGAAAATCTTTTTAGTATTTTTCGACAAAAGGGTGGTTATAACAAAAATCCAACAGCCAGAACGATTAGGACTTCGATAAGAAGTAATTGTATTTTTTCTTTATGCACATCTACTAGAACAAATTGTGAGGCAACCTTAGAAGATAACAATCCTATAGTAATTGACCCAATAAGACCTCAATATCAAGTAAATTCAAATGATTCATCATTAAATTCTGATTCTGACACAGAGTGTACTTCTAATTTATCCCTTTTTTCTTCTATATCATCTGATGAGGATTCTATTAAAAATGTAAATATTGATAATGATGTTACCTTAGAGGACTGTTCTGTTGCATACTTTGCTGGATATTTGGGTTATAAATGTATAAAAAAATTTAATTGTGACTTTTGTCAACAAGAACTGTTTACAAATAAAAATGTATGTGATAAAAAACAATTTCTTCTTCTGAATAAAAACTACACTACAATAAATGATGCAAGTGGGCTTAAAGCGCCATCAAATAATTTTAATAATGTTATAAATAAAATTTTAAATGTTTTTGAAAATAATTATAAAAACTATTTTCATAAAAAGAAAATTAAACAACAATTAACTGAACTTGTAAAAAATAATAATACAATTAAAAAATGGCTAAACGAATCAATGACAAACTGTTTAGAGCATAAGTTGTATATAATTGAACACCTTTTAATATGCAAAATATTTAATAAAACAAAAATGTTTTCATCCACATCAAAATTAGCAATATTTTCAAAACTAAAAATATTAAATCATACTTAAATAATAACAATTTTATATTTATGTATTCATTATTTCTTTGTTCTGACATTGTACCTATGAGTTAACATAATCTGTTTTTCAATCGATCCATATATTTGCTGATACACTGAGTATAGAACTTGCAGAGCCTGCTGATCATGGTGTTACCTGTGCCTGAGAAGTCGAACATTTTCTTTCTTTTACAAGTTTACCTGTATTGTTTTATTTTTGTAGGTTGCTAACCTTTTGCAACCATATCTTTGTGTTTGTACTGTTGTTACTATAAAATTGTGATATGCAAATATGTAAATAAATAGTTATATGTCATAACTGACAATTAAGTTTACCGTATTATTATTGTATTTTATTATATTACGAAATATTCATCAATACCTACAAATATAATGAAAAAAGTATGAAATTATGTCTACTCACATGCATAGTTTTTTGCATAACAGGTCAAAATAATTGAAAAGGTATCTGGTGCCTGGTATTTAATTTTCACTACTCAAATTATTGAAGTGTAGAATGTTTTCTGAAAATTATTGTAGGCATTAATAATTAACATTAATAATTCGAAACTGGACTGAGATGGTAATTTAGGGAGGTCATTTTTCGAAAATCTCCATAGTTTATCCAGAAATGAGGAAAACCTTTTCAAAAACTGAGTAATTTCGGTAAATTCTGTAAAATTCCGCCGTAAACGGATTTAATCATATTTAATTATCAATTTAATCATATCATTTAAAATAGTAAGTCATTAGGTATGAATGCTAGGAATTAAATATTAATATATGTATAAATAACTCTGACCGCAAAGGAGCAATGCAATACTGAGTTATGAGCACCCGTGGCCCGCCCCGCCCAGTGCGGCAGCGCTTGACGCTCGTTCTGTGTTTATCTATACAGATTGTAAAATAATTATTTTTTCTATTATACAACGCATTCTATCGGCAGCTAGAACAAACATAATTTTAGTAGCCTAATATCTCTATACCATGGACTATCTATCTATTCTATAATCAATGGTAATACCTATAATTAACATAACGGAAGAAATCTAAAGCGCGTTACACACTACCTGATTTGTTCGGGCCGACAGGATACCTGACCAAATCAGATGTTGCGTACACACAGTACGACCACCACACGATTTAGTCAGTCTTAACACCGTTATTAAACTGGAAGTAGGTACTAGGTACACACACGTGTTATCACGTTAACCTCAATAAACCAACTAAAATCCGCCCGACAGTGCTACATACTATATGATTTGGTCGGTCGGTCGGGCGATCAGATGGTATGGCCACCTGACAACAGTGGCGTACCTGTGGGGGGGCAACAGGGGCATTTGCCCCCCCAAGAAGTTTTTTGATGCCATAATGCAAATTCATTGTCCAGCTTAAATAATGTAAATAATTAATATTTTCACTGATTATAATCGTGTTTGATATCACTATCAATGTAATATAAAATGTCAATATTCGATCAAATTAGGATTAGGAGTTATGGTCACATATAGTCACTATTTTATAATGTGATTATCACTTATCATTGATATCAAGTGATCAACATGAGGACGTTATCATTACTTATTTTATAACCATAAAAAATTGTGAAAATTAATTTATGCCCCCCCCCCAAAAATGTTACACAGGTACGCCACTGTCTGACAAGACCCGACAGGATTAAAGTCAGACGACACGTCTACACACGACCTGATATGACGTCTGATCTGACCAAATTATCCTGTCGGCCTGATCAAATCAGGTAGTGTGTACCGCGCTTAAAATTCTAGGGTAATGAATTATAATTTATTTTGGTACTTATTAATTATTATATTACTTAGAATAACTGAACCGATTTACGATAGCCAGTTGATTATATACAAATCATGTTTTTCTTCTATGAATTACAAAAATAAATCTCGTGTTTACCGTGTAATGCTTATATATAAATTATATGATAACAATCTGCAATAAAAATTGAGTGCTTAAACTATTTAAAGACTTAAATTATATTATTAATAATTTTTAATCAGTAATTGTTAGTTGATACTTTAATACTAGTATAATTCCCATTTTGTATTTACACTTCTACTCGGCCTATACTCAATACCTGGTTTGTATTAAAATTTTTACTCGGCCAATACTCGATACCCGGTTAGTACTATAAATTTTACTCGGCCAATACTCGATACCCGGTTAGTATAAACAATTTTACTCGGCCAGTACTCTGTACCCGGCTTAGTACCAGATTTTTTACTCAGAACATCTCTATTCGATACCAGTATTTTTTTATCGATATGAGTAAAGTATCAAAACCATGGTATAGATACAAAATGTACTTGTATCGAAAGAAAAGTATCGATACTTTATTGATATCAGTAGTATTGCAACGTCCCTACGTTCAACGCGTCCAGTCATCGCACTGCGATTGAGATGTTCTTTGTGTTATTCTCGACCAAGAACAAAGATCTAAGACCGGTGGTTTTTGTAGGTACCAGTGTTACCGTGAATGACGCGAATCCCGGAAACGTGCGGACGGCGCTGTGGAAACTATACTTCAACGAAACCTATCATCCGTTCTTGCTGAAGCTTTATATGCCGTTGCACTGGTTGCTGTCCAAATCACCTGTTGAAGGCGCACAGACTCCGTTGCATCTAGTCCTGTCACCGGATCTTCGAGGCGTCACGGGCAAATACTTCTCGTAAGCGTCCGTACACGATAGTAATATTAATAATAAACACGTACGTTCGTGTTAATCTATATGTGTTGGTTCGGAACATTCGCACTGTTGTTTTTTGTGCGGCCGAGTCGACGGTTTTCGAAAAAATTTGAACATTTAACGATGGTCTGTTTAGAATAATACATATACTATAATAAATACAAATGCTAAAAATCCAAGAAGCAGTGGTGGAGCGTAGTTTATTTTTCAATGAAGCTGTTACTTGTGTCGAGTATCCCCATTCCAAGTCACAAGCCACGAGTAACAATTTATCTGTATTTTTGGATAAATTAATTTAAAAATTATTCGGTTCAAACCAAATAATGTACAGTAATATTTGATGTCACATATGTAAATCATGTATTAAAATTTTCTGTCACGCAATACCATCTACCCCCCACCCCGTTCTAGTCATGAAGCTGCTGCTTCAATGAAACCCCATCGCACCGCCACTGCCTAGAAGTAGGTAACAAAACATTCGTGTAACACGCGCGGATTCCTATCATTATGAACGTACACCAACGCGTACCGTGATTGTATTCGCAGGGATTGCGTGGAACGGGACCCTTCACCGCTGTGCGTCAACTCGAAGATCGCGGAAGGCCTGTGGATCCAGAGCTTGGCGTGGGTGAACCATCGGCTGCAGAGATGAGCAGGAGGGTGCCGGTCCATGAGGTGATATACGATCGGCCGGTAGCGGCGGCTGTGCCCACCGGCGTGTACAGGCCTATGACCGGGGACGAGTGCGTACTGACGCTGTCGGACGTGCGGCTGCAGGACGTGCAGCCGCCGGCCGACTACTGGCATTCCTGTACGCTGGACGGCGGCGGCGTGCCGTATGAACGGCGGCCGGTGATCGGCGAAGCGGATTGCATGGTGGACAGGGGGCTGGAGGCGGTGTTGCGCGGCATGACGGTGGGTGAGCTTCGAGAGTTCTGCTTGGGCGACGGCCGTGGTGGCCGTGTCTCGGGCCGTGTCCAGCTGTCGGCCGTGGTGAAGGGCCGCGGCGCCTGCGTGGGTGAGGCCAACGCCAAAGACGACGACCAGCGGAAGGTGGACAACGCGTTGCGGTACAAGGACACCGGCAACCGGTTGTACGGGCAGTCCCGTTATGTGGACGCGTTCCACCGGTACAGGGCGGCCCTGCAGAACGTGCTGTTCATGCGGACAGTGAACACGCCATCTTGGAACTCGCTGTACTGCACCGTGGTCAATAATATGGCCGCGTGCCAGCTGCGGTTGGACAACCAGGAGCACGTGCATCGGCTGTGCACCAAGGTGCTGACCGTTCAACCGGATAACCTCAAGGCGCTGGTGCGCCGGTGCCACGCGGCCGTCGAGCTCAAGCTGTACAAGAGTGCGGCGGACGACGCGCGGCAAGTGCTGACGCGCGAGCCTCACAACTCGGAAGCCAAGCGTTACCTGGACGAGGCCGAGCGCGGCATTCAGGTGCAGGAAGCCAGTTATCGGGATATGGTCAGGAAGATGTTCGCTTGATCCGCCGCGTCAGCAGCTACGGGGCCGCACTCGTTCCAGTGCTGCCCATACGCGCCACCGCGTAACGTCTGTTTCTCCGTCTTGTAATGATAATAAATTAAACGTTTTTATCCTACGAGTGCGTTCTGTTTTTTGATTTGTGTATGAATCGTATCGGTAGCGTCTCTAGATAGACCCTTTTATAAGGAGGGCGTGAAATGTGTATATGTATTTACATATTTCAATTTTCCTAGTAAGATACAAACAACATTTTACCTTAAAACTACTGGTCGGTTAAAAAATAGCAGCTGTTGTACGGAATAACAACGATTGTTCTGCCTTGTGATTAATTACGGTTTATTCAGGTGTACCTGGTATTATTATGTATCTTACTTATTCAGGCTCAAGTATAAGAACACTACTGGATTTGTCTATGTTGACAGCCCGCAGATATTAGAATATGTCTCAACATCAAGATTTTTTTTTGTATGTACGGCTAAAAAAAAAAGGTTTTTAATCTGTCATGAACTAAGGTCAGTACTATTGATTCTGAGATCACACAATAAACTTAGCAAATAATCTTTTTTTCATTTATAGCTTTTATTCAGAACATACCCACATAAAGCTGTTTTACTATGGATTTGTTTTTATTTATATTATTCAAATTAAACCAAAAGTACATGTTGCTCTGTTTTCTAATTTATTTTGTTTACATCGTGAAACAGTTTTATTTTATACAATGATCCAAAATTATTTGGCGGGGGAATAGTTCGATTACAATGTAAATAAATGTTACACATGTTTATCTTCAAATAAACTAGGTCTAAAGTTGCATCATGTTAATAATTCATCGGCAATCTGATTAAGTGATGGAAATTATTCAGTCTACTCGTAAGTCTATGAAGGCATATAAAAGTTAAGATTTGTGACTATTAGAAGCAGGGATGACCTTTAAATAACAACTGTTTGTATTTTAAATGTTAAATGGATGTATAAAAAGTGTGCAAAATATTATATAATGTAATTAAATATGTCTTAATAATTTGATTAGTTTATCTGCTTTCTTACTGTTTGGTCTTTATAATTGGTTGAAAAAAATTCCATTATTGTATGAGTGCAATTTCAACATGTTCACAAAGAAGTATTCATAGAATTAATGAAGTACAAAATAGGTTTAATTAAAAATATAGAACATATATTTAATCAAATAATTACAAATATAACAACCTAACATACAATTCACCCGAACATTAGCAATCACGGTTTACACAAAATGTAAGTATTAAATACGTGATATTTGTAAAACATACTTTCATATTTTAACAAAGTAACGTTTTTTATATATTTATATGAGCACGAATAATTAGATTTTGATTGCTCAATTATTTTATATAACAAAACCCTATTCGTTTGAAAACATAAAAATGAACATTATAAAAATAAATAATATAACCCTTACATTTTCATTAATATTAATACACTATAAAATTAATCCAGAAAAAATAACAGTCCCGTAATTAACTATATATTCATGGCACTTAAATTAGTAATATTTTATATACCTACATACATTTTTAAACATGTACCTACAACACAGTTTTTTAAGTTAATATTTAATTGGGGTAATATTAATAAGTTTATACATCTTTTTTACCAAAAAACCATTTCATTGAATGCTTTAATTTATAACAATTATAAAATCTAGAGTTTTAAATGGGAGGAATTATGTAAAATTAGTAATAAAATAATTTAAACGTTAAATATTATTACTGCAAATACATTATTGGTGTTTAAGGCATGTAAGCCATTTGTTAAGAATCAAAAGTAGTGAATCAAAACAAAAGAAATTAGAAAACTACTTAACTTTGTTTTTAGTTCCTGCAATTTGAGCCATTTCAAAGTTTCCAAAAAAAAAATCCAAAATTTAAAAAAGATAGCTGGAAGACTATAAAAATGGGAATTCTTATTGAAACAAATTAATATAACCTATTATTTAATAAAAATGATTGCTTATTTGAAAATGCAAAAACGCCAACGGTTTTCATACAATAAATAAAATTGGGAAGGGAGTTACTTAATTAAAATTATTACTACTTTCTATACAGAAATTTTAAAGTTAAAAATGTTTAGAACAAAAATTTGTATTTAATCGGTTTGTTTAGATTTAAATTATTAATGAGACAACAATAATATATATTATATAATATGAATTTAACACAATAAATAGTATTAACACATATTAATATTTAAAAATTATGATAATCATAATACATTTCACATACAAGTAGACATAACATAATATATAAAAAATACAATCACAGTAAGTTAACATATGTGTGCCATTTGGGCAAATTACGAAGACGACTTAACAATGGCGTCTTGAAGCAACATTATATCATGACTTTTTAAACCTGCCGTTCATCTCAACATGAGAATTCATTCTTTGCATAGGCCTCTTGCCAAATGGTGATTGTACATTAGACATGGTTGAAGTTGAGTTATTTACAGCCATATTTATTGCTTTATTAGTGGCTTGCTCTATGCCTTTTTGAAGGAAAATTTCATAGCATGGTTTCATGAACTAAAAAAAAAGGTACACATTAATATCAGAAATAAATACTAAAAAAGTAGGTCAAGATACTAACATTGTCCCACAAAATATTAGCTGCTTCATCAATAGTTTCACTTATTTCTCTGTGTTCTCCGCTATACCTGTTAAAACATACAAAGTTAAAATTATTTTCAAATAATAAAAGATTAAGTAGACAATATTATTTAAGATTCTTGAAACTTACTAATATGTTCAATATTTTTAAAATAAATATTGATGTAACATAGAAATATTATTATATATTACTTGCCTTATATAAGCCCATAGAACGAGAATGAGAAGAGTAATGCCCATAATTAAATTAATACCACTGGCTACGGAATTTACACCAAAGAAGTTTAGTGTTCCAGATATGAAATAACATGCAACTGCAATAGCAAAGAATACAGCTGGTGTACGAGCAGATTTAAATATATTTTTGCTTTCATTATGTGCTTTAAATTGTAAGTATTCTTCATCGATATCCTGAAAAATGTACACATAAAAATATTTAAAATGTTTCTAAATAAAATTGTATAAAAGTATATATAAATATATATAATATAATCTTACAGCTTCTAATTTTAGTTTATAGGATTCTGAAAATTCATCACCGCCCATTTTTCTTTTAATAATAAATTGTTCCATTGCCTTATCTTTGCTTAACAAATGCTCCTCATCTAAAGAATTGGTGTTCATGTATGGTTTGTTACCACCACAAGCAGCTTCCATCATTTGATGGTACACTTCTCTAGCTGATGCTACAGCTGACAAGTTATTTGCTTCTGCAGTTGCCTAAAATCATATGTTAATATGAAATAATTAAAATATATGTTTTCGCTAAGATAAATTTATCAGAAATTATGGAAAAAGTATTTATAATTTGTGTTAATTAAGCATACTACCTTAGATAAAAAATATGTTGATCTATAGCAATTGTTTTCACTTGATAGCAATTAATAGAAAATTAACACAATATTCATTATAGAATAGTCATGAATAAAAACATATTAAATATGTATGATGGTTTTTAAAAGTTAAAAGAATGATGATGGATTTTTTTGTACATTTTATTACTTAATAGTTTGTAATGATCTAAGACTTACAACAAGCATAGACTTTGGTTCAGGTAATTCATCTCCCGTAAATAAATTAATATATGATTTGAAGTACTGGACTAACTCTTTAGCTTTTACTTTTTGTCCACTAATCTCTTTCAATATTAAATTATTGGGTCTTAATAACATTGGTATCAATGTTAAGAGATTCTGCTTAAACTCGGTTTCAATATCTATGGCATAATAAAAAATTATCACAGTTGAATAAACTTTTTAACTTATTTATTACCTGAAAGCCTGCCATCAAATTTTGGATTAGTAGCAACCTTCAAGCCAGGATGAGGCATTAAATAGCAACTGATCTCAGAAAAACATGATTTTATGTGTTTTCTTAGAGACTGAAGTTCTGGGTGCTGTTTGTCAGATATTTGCAGTCTTCTGTCCAATATCTGTTGGCCACCTTCTGCACCATAATCAGCTTCATAAGGAAAACTCCAATCTCTAACCAAGAACTGTAATTTCTGAAATGGTTTTTTACCAGTGTCTTCAAGCGCTAGACGTCCATATTCAGTAAATAGCTAAAGAAATAATAATATAATATTTTTGTTCAACAGTTCTGAAATAAAAAAAAATATAAAAATTACCTGTAAATGTTGCAAATCATCTTCTTGTATATTTTGTGATAGGTTGTAAATTTGTATTGAGCTAAGCATAGTACTTAATGCAAAAACTGTAGCACAATCTTTGACTGTACTCTCACTATCAAATGTACCTTGAGTATCTAAGAGTATAATAGCTACTTTTTCTCCATTTTCTAAAGTGGCTTTAAATACTTCTGACCACATCAATATACCTGTAGTATCTCTTTCAGATCCACCACGCCATGAAAATCCATCTAATGGTTTATCATCTGAACCGATCCAAAGAGTGTCTTCTTTGATTAGATTTAAATGATACTGAAATTACATTAATTATTAAATACTATAAGGCTCATCGTTAAATTATTTATTATTTACAGTTGCCTTCATGTATCTGAGGAAGAAATCTAGTAAAAATGATTTGCCTTTGCGGAAGGCCCCAGCAACAGAAACAACAACAACATTTCTGTCTTTAATTTCATCCTTAAGGAGTATTTCTTCAAGGGCTTCTTCATCCAAAATAAACTGATGGCTCTCTTCTGCCAAGACAATAGGTATTGGTTTACCATGGCTAATAGTATTTTGAATACCTTCCATTATACCTGTGATATATAAAATACACAAAGGTTATGGAAAACAATTTTATAAGAAAATTATGACTTACGATGTAATTCAATTTATTATAACAGTACTGTAATTAGGAGGGGAATAAAAAAGCTCGACTTTTTAAATTCAATAATCATGTAAATTAATCAATTATTTTTATTAATTCTACTAAATTTCTGTTTAACCTACTAACATAAGAATACATTTTAATTACATATTTATAAAATGTACCTATAATTTATACTAAATATCTACTGTGTTCAATTAATTTTAAAGTATTAAAAAATAATCTTTTAATATATTTAAGAATAGCATATTATATAACAGGGATGGACAACGTGAATAGGTATGCAAACCACATAGATAAATACAATAAAAACTAGAGCCAAAATGTTACGATACATTTTATATAATTTAATAATTTTTTATACATTTACACCTAAAAAATTAAAATTCATAATACTAATAAAATAAGAAGTACATTTTAATCTTTTAAATAAAATACGAGATGCATCTAACAATGACAAGCGCACATGCAACTCGAGAGTCGCAAGTTGATCACCCTTGTTATGTAATTTAAGAAAAAGGAAATAGGTAACTGCTAACTATTGTATTTTTTAAAAAGACTTTCAAATATTTTCATAAATAATAATCAGGAAAAGTATAAAAATTTTTTTTTCATAGATGCTTAGGTATTTAAATAAAGTTCAAGATTGGAGTCTCAAAAAAAAAGAAGACAACTCTTGAACATTTGTCAACCATAATGAGTTGGAATTTAGAGTTTACTTTTTGAGTGACATGAAGAATGTTTTAAGCCCTTTTTTTTATATAATTTATGTGTTAAATACATCAAATATTTGTTCATAGAACTTTAACATTATGCATGAAAAGCATCTAAATAATCTGAAATTAAAATGTTTTTTTTTTTCCAAAAACCATTTAGAATTTTAATTAATAAATTTTTTTAATTTTTATTTAAGATTTAAAGATACCTTTACTATTACTAATAATGTAATTAATGTATTTATAAAAATTAAATGTTTTCAATGATATATTATTACAAACATTTGATATTTTTTTTTAGATTTTATTGGAAAAAGTGCATATTAAAATACTCATTAATGTATGCATTCTATAACAAAGGTCAATAAAATAAAAAATAATTTACTTCTGCAAATATGTAGATAATAGTTGCAAACAGGAATCACTTTTAACAAGACTTATCATTATATAAATATTAAAGAAACCCTTATTTTAATTATAATCATAGTACACAATAAAAATTACATAAAATATAACTTAATTGTTTTGGTAGATACCACCTATGTGTATTAATTACCATGAAATTAATTTTAAAAAGTGTGTAATGCTACCCAACCTATTAGATTGTACTATACTGTATTTTATGCAACCTTCCAACAATACGAGGTCACTAAAGAGGCATGACAAGTTGATTTTCTCTTACTCTGTAATATAATTTAACAAATTTAACTTGTATATAAATTGTCATCTACTTACTGAAAACAAAAACTGTGTGTTAAAACTCTTAATAGTTATATTTATAAAATTATTTTTAATAATTTTATTTATTTAAGAAATTATGAAGTTTATAAGTAACACAAAATAAATAATTTAACTTAATTTAGTTTAAAAATTCAATAAAAGCCAAAACTTCAAAAAATTATTAACTAAAGAAAATAACACTTAAAATTGTGTTGAATATTTAAATGTAGGAGGAAGGCCAACTGACCTGGAAATGATTATTTGCCCAAATCCCAATTGGCCACTAGGCTGATGATATTTTAAGACTTTAGAAATACATGCCAAAGTTTAAATATACATTTAAATACAAATAAACAAGAAAAAAAATATATATATAATATTAAGTTTGTACATCAGTAATAATAAAATTACTTTAATTAGGTATTTTTTGAAGAATAATAATTTAACAGTTATTACATTATTACATACTTTTTCATTAACTTATATAAATACAATTTTAAAATGATTTAATCATTATAATATGAGGTTAAAGTATAGATATCAGGTTGAATTCCAATTTAAAATTTTTATAAGTATGCAATAATTGAATCTATAGTATTAACATTTAAATTAAATAATCATGATTTATAACTTATCGTTATAATAAAAAAATGGAAGTTTATTTAAGTATTTATTGAAATTAGTTTTTAATATTCTAGATTATAAATATAAGGTACTTAGTTAAAATAACTGAGTACCTAAATATACATAGATGACAATTATGTTACTTAGTACAAAAAAAGAATTCATATATACAATAGTACAATTGAGTAATGAGAAAAATGTTCAAAAATTAAAAAACTTCATAGATTCACCACACAATACATAAATTTATATTATTTTTGATTTGTATTATTGAAATTCTATTATTACCTAGGTATACGATTTTATCAGTGTATTATATAAACTTTAATCATATACTTCTAATTTTTTTTTTACATTAGTATAGTTAAAATGTAAATATTTTTCCATTATCTTTACTATTACCCTGCCAAGAATACTTCTTATTATTAATCAACTCTAGTAGACATTATGGTAAAGTACTATCAGTTAAAAATTGAAAAACTACAGCAATGGACTTTTGGCTACTTCAGTTTGCTTGCTTCAAAAATGTAATTAAAAATATTCCTTGATATCTTATTAAAAACCATATTGGGTAGGTAATATTGACAAGTAAAATAATTAAACATTATGGTAAAATGTACAATGAAAACAAAGATGCTAATTTAATCAAGTGGTAGTTGAGTTAATAGAACTGAGTACAATTAAACTAATAGTTATACAGTACCACCATAAAATATTAACAATATTACTCAAATATATTTTAAAAGTCATCAAGTTATTAAATTTAAGTTAAAGAATGTTTATAAAATATTATTAATATACTAGGTCGTATTTAATTTAATAGTTTTAAATAGATATTTCTAATGATTTTTAATTAATAAATTATATAGCTAGTTATATAAATGATTATAATTTAAGTTTTACCTTGTGATTTAAATTTTATAAATAATTTTTAAATCAAAATGCAAAATTATAATACATAATTTTATCATTAATGAGCAAATAAGTATTTATATTCTATGTATTTAAAAAGTTGAAAATTAATAAATTAACATTTGAAACATAAGTATACCAAAAGTTAGAACATGACCTTATGTGTAATTTGCACATAATGAATACATTAAGTACTCATATACATAATAACAATATTAGTTTGATGAAAATGTGGTTGAAGTGATAATTTCAATAATTATTGTTAAACACATTTAGTGTGAATCCTACAAAATATTATTTTGTGTAACATACACTTAACAAAAGAGAAGATTAAGTATTTATACACGGATCTGTTGCAAGTAGGGCAATGGAAGTTAGTTCATGCAATGTTATACAACTGTTTAGTAACAATTAGATGGATATAAATCGTACAGCAACAGTATACAATAATAGGGGGATATATTAACAGAGAGTTCAATCAAAGTGGATACAAAAATTGGAAAAACCCTAAAGACATTAGCGAAATCAAGGATTATTATTCCATGTATTGAGTCATTAGAGACATTAGTGTCTGTTAAAACAGGGCCTCGAGGGCAACACTACATAAACAGTATTACTGACTTGACGACTAAGAAAAAAAGAACCATTATGCCAGCTCTCCCCTCCCACACACTGGAAAACGGACGGCGGTAGCTTTCCAGACCACTGGTCATTTTTATCATGGGTTTCGTTTACCTCTATCTTTATGTTTTTCCGTTTAAACGCGGTATTTTCTCCGGAAGTCTTCAACCAAACGGCTACAGAACTGCTACAGAGTTTGGCGCAAACAAACGCGCACGCGCGCGGCAATGTAACTGTGGAATGTATATCGTAGCGCGTTTGCGGCTTCAAGTTCCGCGATTGTTAAAATGATTCGTCCGTCGAATGGCTCGGGCAAGTCTTATCGAAAATCACACGTAAACACGGACGGGTGCACAAGCGAACACGACACACAAGTCACCGTAATCACATTACGGTCGGACACCCACTTGTTTCGTCGTCGTAGTCCGCGAACGAGAGAAACGCACGGTGAGAACGAAAAAAATAAACAAATAAAACAAAACGTCTATCATTAAAAAAACTTGTTTATCGCGTCGACGGCGGTGTGCAACATTGATGCGCATGCGCACTGGACGGACGCACGCACGCCGCCGCGACCGCAAATATCGACGTCACCGACGACCGCGATAGCGGGCGCGATCTCGGAGACAAGAGGTTACGTCCCGGTGGCGTTCAGTTACCGTGTTTTCGTTCGTTACACAGGCCCCGAAGAGTTTTACCGTTTTTACCGGATTCATTAATCCGGAATATGCGGTTTCCAAAGAGTGAAAAAGAAAAAAAAAATGTTTGCAAACGTTTCCAAAAACTCATGGTTCAAGAGTAACCGATATTTAATGAGTACGAACGATTTCGGAATCGCATCAAGTGTATACACGCATCGAATTGTAATTTAAGTGTCCCGGATTCGCATCGTTACTTCATCATGGTCATATGGAACAGAGCGGTGAACACCGTGTTAGGTGATCGAAACAAAACCCGTGGTAAATTAAACTAAACTGTTTATAACAACAATTGTCTTACTGATCAATCCGATTACATTTCAAAATGCCATTGTTTTACTTTTTAGCGAGTTTTGATTCCACGATTATTATTTGGATCGATAAATGGAGAAAAAAAAGACTAGGTATGGCGGATAAGTGAATTTCAAATTTGAGTTGAACTATGGGTAATATCATCATATACTTGTATGCGAGGAAAAATATTTCAATTGTCTTACATGTATATCAGGATTTCGCCTCGGTCCACGACTATTCGCTTCACAAATCAAACAATTTTTCACGACTTCTTAACAATTAAGATTCGTTAAAATAATATTATTGTTGCTATGAAACTATAATGTGCGTGCTCGGATTCGTTTTTCGCTTAGTGAATCATGAAATGTATTTAACGTTGTACAATATATTACTCGATCCGTTCCTTTAGTATGATGTAAAAATTACATTAGATACTTACGGTTTGCGGAGGGAAATTTTAAGGTGTAATATGGTCAGTATATGGACGATGTGATTATTATTATAATTTAATAACTAATATAATATAAATAATATAATAATTTATAACTGCAGTCGGTCGACTTCGACACGGTGGTGTCAACGGAGTGAGAACCAACGAGAAATAAACCGTTTATAATATTGAAAATAATTGAAAACACACAGCACTATATTATCGCTATTATCATTGATTAAATATATGTATATACGTATACTTGATCAATGCTATTATCAATCGAATTAAAATCAACGTTGGCGGCGGCGGCCTCTGACAACGACTGCGAATTGTGACACGTGGAGGCCCGATGAAATATTAATCTGGTAACGGGAATCCGAACTTAACTTGATGGGCGCGCGCGAAGCAGTGTGGTAGGTGCACAACACGCTTAAATATGGGACGTCAATTACGTGATGTGATATTACTATTACGGTCACGATTCCTGTAGAACGTATAAATAAAACATCGAGTATATTTCAGTATTCTCGTGCAGAAACAGCGGCGTTTGCGACAATTGCGTTGTGTTCAAATAAAAATAAATCAGCACAAGACCTGAAAATTAAAATTAACCGTTTCACGTATTTTTACATGTGTACATAAATATTTATTGATGTTATTCTGAACGTTCAACGCTCTGTTTACCCGATGATCATTGGAACAAAAAGGCGCTATTAAAACTGATCATAAAGGTGTGTTCGATTCGATGCAGGTTTGCAACACTTTTCTCATTTGCGCGGCGCCACTTCCTTTATCCTGTAATGCCACTCCTTAATCCAGTCGTTCCCAACTGGGGTACCGTGAAATTAAATTGAGGGTGCTGTAAAAATTATTTGAAATATATATTTTAGGAAAAAACGTTTTCATGAAAAATAAAACCCTTTGAGAAATAGCACAGACTATAATGTAAAACCTATTGAATTTTAAATAATTTTTAGTAATACTGCGATCAATCTATTTTCATTTTCATACCAGTTTGATTGATATCGCTTCGATAGCTTCGAAATTACAAAATATAAGTATATAATATATTAATATTGAGTATAGAATATAAATATAGCGTGCCTCCGGATTTTTATAAAATAACTAAGGATGCCGTGAGATTTAGGTTAGAAACTTCTTCCTTAATCTGTTATGTTCTGATTATTCGTACATTGTATTTTGTCGAGGGATACATATTAGGCGGAACACGCCCTGGAAGTAATTTATTATACATTAATAACGCAACAGTGTTTCGATCGTGCAAAAGCCATCAGTAATCGAATAAAGTGTTATGTTGTACATTGACACGTGGTAACTCGTAGAAATGTCACATATATCGACCTTTTGTTAATAATATTGATATAAAAAATCAAATGTTATTCCGAGCAGACCCGAGCTAAGAGTAAAGTAGGTACCTGAATAGATACGTTAAAAAGTCGGTCTGGAAATGCGTTTAACTTTATGCGTGATTGCGGAATTTTTGATAGACTCGCACTCACCGATATTTTGATAACTGTATTTAAAACACTCATGTTTTTTGTCTTAGAAAAATAAATAAGTATTGCTTTATTTGTTCGTAGCTGCGACTATAGCTCTCAGTACCGCACAATACGCCTGTAACGGTCCGGCAGATGTCGTTTGTGTAATAGTCACTGGGGAAGAGCTTGCTAAAGCGTTCGCGTTACACCGGTGATAATTTTGTGCTGGACTAAGCGCGGGTGAAATGGCCTCGGATACAGCTCGTAGATTTTTTTAATGACGTAAAACAATTAATTATGAAAATAACTTTTAATGACGATAAATCAAAAACGTTTTATTATCAATGGAATTGATTCAACGAATCATTATTATACAGAATGTATTCGAGTAAATTATAAAATTGTTCAATTGTTCATTGGTCGTTCATTTATTTTTAACTCATTAGTATTATAAATTATTATAATTTCGTTTTAACATGTTGTAATGAAGAAATAGATAAGTTTTATTTCAATCAATGTTAGATTCTAAGTAAAACGAGTTATATATTGGTTATAGCATAACCAATACATTACTCGTTTCAGCGATTCTCAAACTGGGGGTCGCAAACAATTTTTTTTATGGTCGTCAATATATATAATAATTAGTAAGGTGTTTTTTTGTAAATATCACGAATTATAATTAATAAAAATTTAGGATTGTCAATAAAAAAACCGTTAATAATTTATTAATTATTATATAAATATTATTATTAATATTAATCATATAAATTTATCACTACTTTTCAATATTATTATAATAAAATAGTCGCTAAACATTTTGATGACATAGGACATTATAGGTCACGGTCTCGAAATGATTGAGGACCGCTGGGTATACCATAGAATATATGATATCAGAATGGTTACTTGTAGATGCAAACAAGAATCAGTTGTCATATTTATTCTATGGTACCTAATTATATTAAAAATATTGAACGTACTTCATTGTTTTGATGCATATTGTTTATTGAACCACTTAATATATGAAATATATAGACTGTTGGAGTTCCATAACAATAGTCGAACGATTTTTTAATTTCCTTGTGTTACCTGTGAATAATCTTATCAGTGACAATTTTGATTTCATTTAGTCTGTGGTTATACCATAAAGTGGTTTGTTTTTGTCTGTGTACATGTTTTTGACTTGAAAGATTGTCCCGATCACCAACATATAAAAAGTTAAAGGTAGGAAATTGGTTTTAGTTAGTACTTAGAAGGAAGTAATTTTACGAATTTCCAAACAGTTTAAAAAAATTGGCAGTATATACATTTATGGCATACTAGTTTCCGACAAACTCGAATTTTGTTTTCATTGTAACTCAAAAAATAATAATCGTTAAGATTTGAAATTTTCACTGAATGTTTTTATTATTCTTTATATATGGTATATTATTTTGTTGATTTTTTTTTAGCTATTTTTAGAAAATTGAAATGATCATGTTTTTTTTTCAAAAATATTGATAAAATAATATTAATTTGGCAAACAGTCCTGTAAATTTAGCAGTTCATTCATGTAATCTATTACCAATCAAAGAAAAAAAATTGAATTTAATTTCAAAACAAAAATCATGAACACTTGTACATTACATTTCGACAAAACGATAAAAATCCGTTACATTTTTGTAGTAAAAATTCTTAAAATTCTCAATTTCTATACATTAAAATAGAATACAAGATTTTTCATAAGATTTTCTTTGTAGTAATATATTTATATTGGAAAATCCAAAAATGATTTATAAATATTAAATGAGAAAGTAACATTAAAAGTTCAACCTCTGTTATGACATTTGGTTCTACCATATCAACTATTTTTAGAAATATAGACATTCATCCGATCTTTATCTTGGAATCGTTATTTTGATAGAAATGGCTTTACGTTTAAAAGACCATATCAATAGCATTCACCACTCTTATATCATTTAACCACGGAGTTTCACCCGACCTTGGATTTTCACTTTATTTTGTTTTAAGTAGTCTTCGATAAGTATAATCTGTATCTTGCCCTCATAAGACTAAGTCCAACATACGGTGGATTATTATATATTGTGTTATACTGATAGAACATTTATTTACTCAGGCTAAAGTACTCTGCCATAACAAGTTTTAGGATTTTTACCATAATAGATTTGTTTTTATTCCATCGCTTTCATCCACGTCACGAAAAAATGCATTTCGGGGATATCTATTGCTTACTGCAGTGGTTAAATACAGAACATTTGTGGTAATGACTACATCACAGAAAGAAAATGAAATTATTAATAATAGGAGTGGGTACATTTTTCCGCGGCTCACAGAGTTTCATTCGCTGAACCTTAATATGCATGAGTGAGAAAAATGACCTTGAAGCTGTGGGGTGTGGATAATTTTAGTAGAATTTTCGGGCGAACCAAAGAGGAGATCATGAAAGTGGATTGTAAAAGTTAAGTATCTATATTTTATTAAGATCTGCGGTGAAATATTATATGCTTTATGTATCCATTAAACAAGAAGTAACGATACTTATAACATATAAGATACTTACCTACTGTACTTACTTCTTATATTATATACTTTTCATACTTAGATTTATCGTTGGGAAATAATACTCTGGAACTTTCTAAGCATTATAAAAATACGCAGTGTTTTGATGTCGAGTCGTTGAATTTATCGACATTTTTATTTTACGTGACTCGATTGGTTATCGCGTGTATGGGAATATTGTGTGAACCATGAATAATAGTTTTTATGAGTAATTCGTATTGTGTACAACGTTAATCGATCAGAGTCAAACAGGGGGGGGGGGGCAAATAGGACGTAATGAGGATAACTAGACTCAAAAATGTCAATATCGTTCAATACACAAACTAAAATTTATCTTTTCAAATATTTTCTTACTTAAACGCGTTAATGGTTAAATTTTGTTTTAAATAATGTTTATTATTTACAACGTCATAATGCTAATGACAATGCCTCCTAATTTATATTTAGTTAAAAATAAATTTTTGTCTTTAAATTATTAATATTTTCTTGGTGTTTGTTTTTAAAAATATAGTTTGTTTATAAACATTTAAAATATGCCTATACATAGAATATAGTATAATTCATTGATATAAGTAATAATTACTTATATCAATGAATTATAAAATTATATTATTACAATTATTGTAAAATGTTATATAACGTTATATAACATTTTTTTTTTTTTTTTTTTGATTTCTCGAAAAGTGTGAACATTTAATAACGAATTTACGTAAAAAATATATGTTATTATTGTGCTTTTTATGTTTAAGATGTATCTAATAAACTTATATAAATCCATAGAACTCTTTAATCAATATATTAACTTTTTATTTATAATTTTAAGGTTATTCAAATGTTATTTTTTTTTTTGTTTCAAAAATGTAACTGTTTACTTATTACAATATATCAATCTATGAGGTCACATTCGATTTAATTCTAGTAATATTTAAAAACCATGTGAATTATGTTTCGTTGAATTACGTCTAAAATGAATGACTCCTATTAAAGCAAAACTGTTAAGAAATATACATAAGTATTAAATATAATAAATTATAAACGGGCTTTTGACTACATACATAGTACTGGATCCACCGTGTTCAAAATTGTTTTTAGAATGCGATAGTTTACTGTTATTTTGCAGTAACTTTTATATTTCCAGTTTTTATTCTATAATATACGTATTATTTTTCCTATGTATATCCTCCCTGAGTTCCACTGACCCTATGTATAAATCCCATAAATATATATAGACCACACTTTTTACAAATAACTCGTTGTCCAGTACAAATTATTGATTTGGCTTATTGTTTTTTATTAAAATTATAATAATCACATGTAAAATATAGGATAGTATCTAAGATAATATAATAATATAATAATATAACAATATAATATGATACATTTTATTAACTGATGTTATTATTGGAGATCGTATGCAGGGCCGGCCCTTGGGTAGGTCAACTGGGACATTTGTCCTAGGCCCCGCGCGAATTTTAGGGCCCCACGCTTAGGTCATGAGAGCTAGGTATATATATATAGTTTAATTAAAAAAATATATATCATAGAATTAAAGTTTTATGTTTTGTAGTATTTATTTGTGATGGGCAACGATATCAATAATTCGATAAAATGTCGATATCGTGACACATTTTCGACACCGATATCATTCTAGTTGTACAATATATTGCAATATCAAATTGAAGAAAATGAATACAGTACACCTACCATACAAGAATATTTTTTAGATTTTGTAACGGTCGATTCTACTACCGGTTTAAATTTGTCAGAAGTTCTGATCACACAAATTAAATTATATAAAATAAACATTGAAAATTGCCGAGGTCAGGCTTATGACAACGGATTGAACATGACAGGAAAATATCAAGGAGTTCAATCCCGAATCTTAAATATAAATCCTCGAGCATTTTTTACTCCTTGCGCTGCCCATAATTTAAATTTAGTCTTGTGTGATGCTGCTAAAAATTCAACTATAGCCATTACATTTTTTGGTATAATTCGACGTGTTTATACATTATTTTCGGCATCAACATATCGATGGAGTATCATTAAAAAACATTGTACAGTATCACGATTAAACAATGGTCAGAAATGAGGTAGGAGAGCCGTATAAATAGCGTAAAAGCTTTACGTTTTCAACTCTCAAATATTTTAAATGCTTTAGAAGAAGTTTCTGAGACAGCTAATGGTTTGATGGCCCGAAGTGAGACTGTTTCACTATCAAATGAAATCGGTAATTATAAATTTATATTGAGTCTTGTGATTTGGTATGATATTTTAACAGAAGTAAATATTGCGAGTAAAAGTTTACAAGATCATAATACGAATATAAATACTTTTGTAAAAATTGTTCAAAGTCTTATACAGTTTTTGCATCAATATAGAGAAAATGGGTTTAATTTTGCGAAAATTGCTGCTAAAAAATTAGCCGAAGATGCCGATATTGCAGTTGCTTTCAAAAATCCAAGAGTAAGAAAAAAGACGAAATTATTCGATTATGAAAATGTCGACGAACCTGTGTTAAATAATGAAGATCGGTTTCGTACAAATTATATTTTCATCGTTCTTGACCATGCAATACAGTCGATTGAGAAACGCTTTAATCAGTTGAAGACTTATTCGGACAATTTTGGATTTTTACATCGCATTGGCAAGTTGAAAATAATGGAAAATGATAATATATTAAAACACTGTAAAGATTTACAAATAATTTTAACAGATAATAATTTAAAAGATATAGATGGATTAGATTTATTTTCCGAACTAATTATTTTTCGATCTTTAGTTGACGAAGATACAAATACGCTCCAGGCACTTAATATTTTAAAAACAACTCACGGATCATTTCCTAATCTAACCATTGCTCTTAGAATAATGCTAACTATTCATGTGACATCAGCTTGTGCAGAAAGAAGTTTTTCAAAGCTAAAATTAATAAAGACTTATTTGCGCAATCGGTTAGGCCAAGGCAAACTTTCTGAACTAGCTTTAATATCAATTGAAGAAGAAATATCGTCCACCATCGACTACAAACATCTCATCGACATCTTCGCTTCGAAAAAGTCTAGAAAGAAAATGTTTAGGTAAGTTTTAATATGATAATTTCTATTTTACTTTATTTTAATTGTTAATGATATTATGATAAAAAGAATTAATCATGTATATTATATATTTACTTTCCACGATAAAACAGTGTAAAGAATATTTGATTTTAATTATTAATTATTATATTCCAATAGAATAAAATACCTAATAATAATTTTCTTGTTTTTTATTATTTTTTTTTTTTTTTTTTTGTTTGTATATGAAGATCGCTGGGTCTCACTGAGAAGTCTCGTATGAAGACAAAAAAAAAAATAAAAAATATATGAACTAGACTGAAATGCATACTAAATATATCTGGGTAAAAAGAAAAATAATAATAATATATATAATGAAAACATGGAAAAAATATATCAAATATATGTACATATTTAAAAAAAAAAAAAAACATTGAAAATTATTTTGTCCGAGGCCCCGCAAAAACTAGGGCCGGCCCTGATCGTATGAGAGATTTGCGCATTTATAAAGACGAGACAATAATGACGTGCGCGGTCGCCGTGGTATAGGTAACCAATTATCATTAGTAAAATATCTTTACGTAAAATTTGGTGTTGCTTTGCGGATGAGTATCAGCTCAACACTGTGTGAAATCGTATATTGCACACATTCTATTACACATCAATACGATAATATCATTGTGGTCGCAGACCCTATAGAAATCCACAACATGTTACGTCCATAATTGTAATAATGTAACCGTTGGGCAACGTAATGTACGGCCATGTTTGAGTATAATTTACAACAGTTAATTATTATATTGTCATAACGATAACGAGCGATAATATTATAATTACAAAAATGAACGCGACCGTATATGAGAAAACAATCATGAATACATAACCTATATGCACACACAATGAATAACATTATTTGCCGTATAATTATTGGATATATATTATAGGTACATGTTGTAACCGTGTACCGTACAGTGATGGCAGCGTGGGGGAGTGGACCTAACCTAATCTGTGTTCACACGGTAATATATGATGAATGATATATATATATCTACACATAAATCTGTGGCTTGGTGTGAGAAGGGCCAAAGTCACATTTCGATTAAATTGAGTTTTTAAACTGGCCTTTTTTTTTGAATTAATAGTTGGCCAATTTTAATATTTAAAATTTTTTTTTTATATTGACATTGGAATGGCCATTTTTACACCAATCCAGATATATATTATCATTGTGTGTAATAATGGATGTCACTAATTCCCCTTAGTATGAGTCATCTATTACAATTTTCTCTAGTTTTATTTATTTTTATCACAAAAACAAAAAAAGAGGGGTTATCGGTTAATTAAGAAATCATGACATAATCTCAGCTTCAAAAAGAAACTGCGATTTGGAAGCGTTTGGGAACCGCCTGGTGTACTCCATCGCGAAACGATTGTATAAATACATTAATTGTGGTGCACGAAGTGAAATGTTTCATGACGATAGAACAGGATATAAAAATAGGAATGAAAGTAATAGAAAGGAGGGAGTTTAGATTTGTTACCGTTGAACCTATAGATTGATGTGAGCGACTCTTTTAGTTATAAATACACAACGTATACATTTACATCACGCAGCCGATAATTAAGCAGTGGACCCGGATGTAGTTTTATTCAAGAGAGGGCGATACAGTAGCGTATTTGAGGGGGAAATCCCCCCCCCCCGAGAATTTTTAGACCAAGACAATTTTCATATAAGTAATGAGTATTTTATTAAGAAACAAAAATTATGATTTATTTTATACTATTACTACATTTGAAAACGTTTCAAATTTTACACTAATTTAAGTAACGCAAAACGCTAAACTTTTAATTTAATTGTCAATAACGGTAAACGGAAAATTTTTTAAACGTTAAATTTGTACAACGTTTAAACGCTTAAATTGAATAACGTTTAAATTATTTATAGCGTTAAACACTAAATTGCTTATAACGTTTATATGTCCCATAATGATAAAATGATAAATAATATATATTATTTTGATTGAAGACCCAGTCCATACTTAGTGAAAAATTAGGTAAAACACAAGCGAAACTTTAAAAGCATAGATAGGTGTTAAAAAAGAACTACACAAAAGACCATTCTAAGTGGATCCGGCATTAGATTAAAAAAAAAAAAACCACAAATATTAAGGATTAACCTGATATAAATATTACCAAAAATTTTACTTATAAATTTTGAGCCTGAATTAAAGAAAAAATTTGAGTCGCCCCCCCCTAGAAGTAAGTCTAAATACGTCCCTGGGGTGATGACTTACATACAATTGCATTGCTATTTTTTAAGAGGACTGTTAGATATTTTTTTAGAAAAAAACCCGAATCAATTAATTTTTTTAGATTTTTTTTGAAAATAACATCGAAGATAACTTACAGGTTTTGATTACTTGTCAATAATTGTAATACTTAAATCTCATACATTCTTATATTCTTATATTGATACGTTCTGTAAATTATAACATTTCATTCAGTAGTTTTATTATTCATTTAAAATTAAATCATTATTTATCACTTTATATAAAGTGATAGGTAAGAATATACGATAAAAGAGAAATACCTTAATATGTATTCAGTGACAAGTCAATATTTTGGGGAGATAAATAATATTATCCTATTTCATCCAAAATCCGAACTGTTAATTATATATTTAGAATGTTTAAAAATGTTTTTTATATAAAGGTTATTGGTCGAAATGTTGAATATTTTTTTTACTAAAATAGAATATGATAAATTCCTTATAAAAGCTATTTTTATTTTAAGTAAATGTATATATATATATATATATATATTCTTATAAGTACCTATTAATTATATACTTTTATGATTTATATGATTTCACAGTAGTTCAGAATGCTTACGAGTTAAATTATTATTAATATTTAGAATGCCATAATTATGCCTTATGTTCAACTTTTAAGTTTTTAAAATTTAAATTGCTAATTATTCATATTTTAATAAATTACGCCGAGATTCTTAAAAACAATCAATTTATACATAAATCTTAATCGCAACTCTAAGTGTGAATAAATATACATTGGAGCATGGAAATTGTTTTTCGAAATGCCTTTAGTAAATAGGTAAACGAAAATTTATTATACTGTCATAAGTACTTCAAAAGTTATTATTTTTTGAATTAAAATAAAAATCATTTCTATAAATTAATGAAAAAAAAATAAATATAATTAATTTATAGTTAATTTGTATTTTTATTTAGGTGTTAGTTTTAAACGGAGGAAAATAAAATTACAGCTTATCGTTTTATCGATTAAGTAAAAGTAATGTAATCGTACGTATTATTTATTTTGATTTAAGCGCTTTTAATAAATCTATTCAGTATGTGTAACTTCTATAATAAATGTAATATTTACTTATTCATAGCATATACAATTATGAAAAAATAATAAGGTAAGAAAATAACTTCTCCAACTATTTGGGGTCGTCCACATTTGTTTTAAATCTCCACTCCTCTCGATTTTCTACAAAGGTACATTAGGTAAGAAAATAAATATTTTTTATTATCATATCTATACGTTTAAACTGTTAAAATAATATGGAAATATATTATTAAAATTGAATAGATACGGCGGAAGTTTCATTCCAAATTATTAGTATATTATGCCTTACAAATAACTCATTAAAGCTGATACAGTATTCAGCTACTTGAAAAGTTATGCAACTTTAAGTTATTCTAAACATGTAGAATTATAAAAAGTTATTAATCCATGTTAAAAGAGAACATTGTAAATTAAAAAAAAAAATTATACAAATATTGTTATATGAATTATATTGACTATTGTTTAAATTTAATACACTTTTAAATTAATGTTTGATGTGACTTATTGCAAAGGCAATTATATCGATGTTGCTATCTACATAATTTATATATATTTATATACATTAATAATATTTACTGAGTTGGTAATCATAAACATCAATCATTTTAATTTCATTTAACTCTAATAAATACATTATACTTTCGAACCGATACAGTATTAATTAGTAATTATTTTGAACTCAAATCAATTCATTTTCTTGTTGTGAATATTTATTATGTCCAGGGACTATTTTCATAGTGAATTGTTTTTATTTTATTTCCCAAATAGAAATATTATACAGAAAATTTGCATTTTAATATTTTATTTACTATGAAAATATAAATTAAATCATTCTTAAATGTTTCAATCGCATATCTAATTAAAATAATTATACACCTTTAATGACGTAAAAGTTTATAAAGTTTGTTCGATAAAAATGACTAATCAAATTAAAAGTAAATAAAATAATTAAATTTTCGAATAATTATTGCTAAAAACTTTGGTTTATTTTAAAATCATTGTTACTTATAATCGAATTAAATTTCCTAAAGCATACGATTTTCTTGTATAAATTTTACTAGTAGAACAATAAAAATAATTTTTATTTCTGGACAAAAACTGTCCCGAATTAAATTTATTTTATTGATTATAATACGTTTGCAACAACATTTTGAATAAACTTACTATAGACAATGAACGTTTTACGTTTTAATTAATATAATTTCATTTTAATTAATAATATTTTAATTTAATGAACCTCAAATATACCTCAAATGATGTTTTTGGTTGTTTTATTGCTAATGGATGAAATCAAATCCAGAAATAATCTCTATAGACAATTTTAAATTTAATATATTGTGATTCTCTGATTTCATTTACAGCTCCCAAATCTTCTTTGTAATCCTAATGAAATGCGAATAGCTGTCGGGTAGAATAATGCAATCAGACACATTTGACGCGCATTGTTGTCAAAAAAAGCAATACCTCCATAATATTTTCTGTGTTCATTTAAACTTTATGATAATACATCCGACTGAAATTCAATAAATTATATACTTCTCATATGTATAAAAACTACTGGAAGATTTTAAGAAAGTAAAAATTGAATTAATAAATTAATTTGATTCGTGGTATTTTTCGGAATTTATAAAAATGGTTAAATGTTATCTTTTCTTT